TTATATCACTGAACTCGCAATAAAATTTTCTACACAGACATATGCATATAAATGTAGAATCATGATCGCGGCCAACACAAGAGTATGTGAAGTGGGCGATTACCCTCGTTGTGTCACCAACTCAATAGTTTCTCCTCTAAGTTACAATACAATGCCGTTTTCTCAAATAGGCACTGTGCCTATTAGAGAAAACGGAAATTTAATGGCAAACATTCATACAAACCCCAAGTCGATCGAGTAGTATATACCTACTATAAAACGGACCGTAAATGTACGACGCGACCACACAAGCGATAGAAATAAACTCGCCGTACATCCAAGTGCCGTGGGCATGAAAATGATAATTATTAATCCTTAAATGAAGAAGCATACTAGCTCATTATAACGAATATTATAGATAATTAAAGTGGATAATTAAAAGTACTCACTTCCCCCTTCAGAGCAGGAGAGATTGCTGAAATAGAGGGAATACAGAGAACATTTACGGCATAGATGCAATAAAGCACCTAAATTATTGGGATCGTCTCAAAGCTCTCCAAATGTACTCACTAGAGAGAAGACGCGAGAGATATCAAATAATATACACTTGGAAAATACTGGAGGGCCAGGTCCCCAAAATAAGTAAAAATAACAGTAAAATAACATACTGGAGTGAACGATATGGAAGAAAATGCAGAATAGAACCAGTGAAGAGCAGAGGTGCCATAAGCACAGTCAGTGAACACTATGAACATCAGAGGTCCGCGGTTCTTCAACATCCTCCCAGCGAGCATAAGAAATATTGCCGGAACAACCATGGGCATCTCCAAGAGAAAACTAGATCATTTTCTCCAAATAGTGCCGGACCAACCGGGCTGTAGTGGATATGTGGGCCTGCGGGCCGCTGCAAGCAACAGCCTGGTGGACCAAACTAACAAGTCAAGCTTGGTCTCGGGCCGAGCTTGGGGATTAGAAGAACTCCCAGAACCCCATCAACCAGGTATTTAAGGTGGAACTGGGAGCTAAGCTCTGCCTACCAGGAGATAGCCTCTGGCTGTCTCCTGGTAGGAGATAGGAAGATAGCCTCTGGCAATCCTCCTACCACATCTAGACAGCAGCTTGTTAGATGGAAACAACTCGGGTCACCCGTCTGCAATTATCAGCTTAGTAGAGAGCAAGGTCACCTGATGTGACCTGACGTCTACTCAATGTGTGAACAATTAACGCTTTACAAATACAAATACAAATTTGTATTCAGGTAAGGTACATACATACAAGGTAAGATACAAAAGTTGATGGATTTATAGATGGAGCTAGTACATACAATACCTAAAGCCACTATTACGCAAAGCGTTTCGGGCAGGAAAAACACTAAGACTAAAACTTAATACTAATTGAGATTAAAGTATAAATTGTGTTGAGAAAAAAAAATGGAAAAGGGGGGGGGGAACATGGCAGAAAAAAAAGCAAAAATACAATTTGGTCAACAAAACAACATTGTTTAAAATAGAAGACATGGGTTGACATTTTGGGGGTGAGGTAGGTTACATTGAGTTAATTAGGTAGTACTTAGTTTTATCTTAAACTGGTTGGGAGAGGTACAGTCTTTAACATAATTGGGAAGGTCATTCCACATTCGAGGTCCCTTGATTTGTAAAGCATTTCTAGTTTGACTAAGTCGTACTCTTGGAATATCAAATAGGTATTTGTTTCTGGTGTGGTGCTCATGGTATCTGTTACAACCTTCTAGGAAGCATTTAAGGTCAGGATTGACATTACAGTTCAGCGTTTTATATATATAAAATGCACATGAGAGGATGTGCAGGGACTTAATATCTTAACATATTCAGAGATTTGAGTAAGGGTACCGAGTGATGTCTGGGGCTGGAGTGAGATATTGTCCTAGTAGCAGCTTTGTGTTGAGTAATTAGAGGACGTAAATGATTTTGGGTAGTAGAACCCCAAGCACAAATACCATAGTTGAACCAGTGCGGTCTGCTGCATGATGCGAGTCACCTCACGTCGGCTGGGTGAGGGAGCTTAAGGGGGGAAGGTGGGGGTGGGGGGGGGTGGACAGGCCTCCTCCCGATTGTGCTTCAAATAACAGCCACCTACTGGAGAAAAACCAGTGCCCCATAACAACACCGAGGGTCACCTCCCCCTCTAGGTCCTCTGCACCTGCATTTGGTCACCAAGGCTGAACCAACAGGCGTGCTTCAGGGGCGCGCCAACACAGACACAAACACTGTACCTTATAGATATAGAATAACCAATGTTCCAGCGATGTGTCAATATTTCATTCAAAATGATCTGCTACCAGAAATTTTAGCCAAATATCCCCAGTTTGCTAACTGTAGGTAGTAACTGAGTGATTGTAACCTATCCACCGCTGCCCACTGGATGGGGGGCGGTGTGCAGGACAAACATAAATTTTGACACTAGCTCTCCACATATGTCAGTTGCTTAATTTAGAACCTGTACTTGAGGTCGATCTCGAACCCATTGTTGATGTGACGACTTATATTGAATTTTGTAACTAGCTCATCAAGATTGTAACTTGCTTAGCTAAATGAATTGTGGGGTTCAGTCCCTGAGCCCATTATGTGCCTCTGTAACCCTTTCCACTACCGCCCACAAGATGGGTATGGGGTGCATAATAAATGAACTAAACTAAAAAAAAAAACTAAACACTCACGTAGGTCAGGGCACCACTACGGTCTGTAATGGTCACAGAGCCGGCACCATCCGGCAGCGACAAGGAACGCCCCTCGTAACGGCGGAGGAAAGCACGATACACCTCCTCCCCCGCCAACTTGATAATAACCCGGTGAGCAGTTACCAGCTCAATCCCGTAGACGTCGTCGACCGGGACATGTCACACATGACAAGCTCAACTAAAGGATAGCTAACACGGCCCGTAAACTCCAGTCCCACGGAGTTTACTCTCAACACAGGAGGGAGAGGGACCCCCATCGCCAGCGTGCGACGTCGCCACCAGCCAAGCAGCACCTGCAGGGAGGGCGGGGACACCCACACCCCCTGGCGACGACAAACAGCAAACACCCCAAACTACCAGAGGCCGGACGACACGTCTGTACCTCACGGCATGTAATAGCACTTTCTCTGTAACTAGCTGACATTGTAACTATAAGGTGTGAAGGATAGAAGAAATTGTTTATGTAATAATCTAAGATGAGGTCTGATAAAGACCTTTTGTGCCCTCTGTAATGCTTTTGCGCTACCGCTCACAGGATGAGTATGGGGTGCAACAATCAAATACCTCACGGCAGCACTTATTTATGAACAAGATTTTACTAAGACACTGAGGTAAATACTTAGATAAATAATAAGTCTTCTATAATTAGAGAATAATTATAGCAAAACACAACAATAAATGCAAGTAAACAAAAGAATTGAAACAATTAGAAGTAGAATAGAGATCACTAGATAGCCATGAAGGATACACAAGTTTGGTGGAGAGAACAAAAAATCAGTAGAGACTGTCAAGATGAATATATAAAAAAATTGACAAATGATGATTGTAAAGTAAAATAATCTTAAAGATAATTAATTTTATTTAACTTAGTTTTTAACCTATAATTAGTATGAACTTAATTAAGAGAACAAAATGAATGATTAATTTCAATAAATGACATAAATCATTACAATTAAATTTAAAATTTAAAAAGAATAGGGTAAGAATAGATTTAAGAGTAAAATTTTACAATGATACTGAGGTAAATGCTTGCATAAGTGCATGGAGACTTGACTGATTACTTAGGAAATTATATGAATGAGAGAACATTAGGTAAATGGTAAAGCAGAGACAGCACCTTGGACAAAGTTAGATTAAGTTAGGTTAGGCTCAGGCACTCCTCTCAGAACTAGCCTCACTCAGAAAAAAAAAGAACTCAGAAAAGAAAGAGAACTCAGATAAATTTGTTTGTTTACGTTACCCGACCGTTTGCTGGCCCAGCAATATAGAAATGTTGTCACTAGCTTTACTTTCATCACTAATTGTAAACAATAGTTCCAAATTTAAGTTAAAATTGTGTAAATAATAAACATGGAAGGTGCACACACATCATTAAATCCTTGGAAATAAACGTCGTGATTAAAAAAAAGGCAAAATAAAAAAGTCGAATCATCGCTCAGTCTAAATCTATATAGAGTTTTGTTAAAATCACGCGTATAACTGCTGCCACACATATATCAAGAAAGTAAATGACGCTGCTTCATGCGTCAAAAAAGTAAGTTATGCTGCATCATGCGTCAAGAAAGTGACGCTGCTTCACGTATCAGAAAGTAAAGGTTTGACATAGCAATGTATTAAGACGAAAGACTATCAATAGGATTATTGTGAAACTAGTTTTAGTGATGTGCTTTGAATATCAGGTTGTCAGTAAAGCAGTTCAGGCTGTCAGTAAAGCATATCAGGCTGTCACTAAGGCATATCAGGATGTCCGTAAAGCATATCAGGCTGTTAGTAAAGCACATCAGGCTGTCAGTAAAGCATATTAGGCTGTCAGTTTGTCTGTTCAATACCCTATGTTCTTAGTAAAAATTACTAGACAAAGACTATATCGCTTACTTCTGTGATACACTTTAAAATATTCGTCGTCGCTTTAGATTTTCATTTATAAATACATAATTATGATTTCTCTTTCGAAATATTGTTTATTGAACATGGCTTGTAATAATCTGTAGGAGCGCTGTTATGATTTCCAAATGGTCCATATCTCTTGAGTGAGGTGGTCTCGGTATAGTTCCAAACTGGTAAATATATGTTTGTAAATTTATCTCCAGAATGACCGTATTGTGGAAAGTTTCTTCTATAAATTCTCACCATGTTATTCAAGTTCTTTGATCACAGAGTTTTTAGTTTTGAGTATAAAGCGATTTTTTTTTTAATATACAAGATACAGGAGTTATTATATTAAAGCGTGTGGGAGACAAACTAGGGTAATCAAAGGTGTGGAGACATTGAAAATCACAAAGTTAATAAGCAATTTGAAGCAGTATATTTGTTTTCAATTATATTGCACTCACGCATGAAAAAATAAATCCTAAAATAGAAACAAATTCATGCAGATTATTATAATTGTTATATATTTCTTTTTAACATAAAATTAGGCAATCTATTTCAAATGTGACGTTAGCTGTGAAACTCAGTGTACATATAATTACATATTGCTATTTTCTAAGTCAAATATGAATCCGTGGCGACATTACACTCTATGAGGAGGTTGGCGAAGGAGACTTTCCCGCGAGCTTCTTCCCCTCAGTCAACATGGCCGGAATCTTCAATTATTTTAGGCCCAAGACAGATCAGGAAGCCTATGAAGAATATGTGAGCAGCACTGGAGACTGCTGGACATGTGACGACGACGAGTATGAGAGAGTCGCCCGGGAAGCAGAGCACCAACCTCACCTGCAACACCAAACTAAGAAGACATACTTAGTAAGTATATATATCCCCTGTATACTGTATATTTCTCCAATATACTAAAGAGAAATGTATCATAAATCTCAAGGATTTATGTATCATAAATCTCAAGGTCCGTAAGCAGTGATGACCGCGGGTAATGTCACCACTATTCTACCACAATATACATATTAACTGGATATGACAAACCGTCCATAAATATCCTTCAAGTTCGGTTAGACTATCTTGAGGTTATCTTGAGATGATTTCGGGGCTTTAGTGTCCCCGCGGCCCGGTCCTCGACCAGGCCTCCACTCCCAGGAAGCAGCCCGTGACAGCTGACTAACACCCAGGTACCTATTTTACTGCTAGGTAACAGGGGCATAGGGTGAAAGAAACTGCCCATTGTTTCTCGCCGGCGCCTGGGATCGAACCCAGGACCACAGAGCTTCGCCCTCTTGGCCCTCCAACCTCCCGGAACGCCATATCCACTACAAGGCTGTCTGGTACCCTTGGGGGTCTGGTAGCTGAGTGGATAGCGTGCGGGACTCGTAATCATATGGCCTGGGTTCGATTCCCTAGCGCAGGCAGAGACAAGAGGGCAGAGTTTCTTTCATCCTGATGCCCCTATTACCTAGCAGTAAATAGGTACTTGGGAGTTAGACAGCTGTTACGTTCTTTCTTACATGAACTGGTTGTGTATTGTTGCAATATAACACTTTCACTTCCAGAGACATAATAAATATCATATATATATATATATATATATATATATATATATATATATATATATATATATATATATATATATATATATATATATATATATATATATATATATATATGTATAAGCATAGATTAGTGATGGGACGATATTCGTCCGAATTCCGATTCGATTTCTAACGATTCCGATGCTGATGTCTATTCCACTAAAAAGTCTCAAATACGATTCGATTATCAATTCAGAATTTTTTTAAAATATAGTTAGATAGTTATTATTCTGGAAAATTGTGTATTTTAGTTTGGACAAACTAATGTTTGAAATTATGAACATCGTAAATGTAATAATAATTTAAATTTAATAATAATAGAGAACAGTTGCTAAATCCAGCTTAATCTTTTGGAAGAAACCTGAAAAGTGAAAACATTCAATTATACATGAGGCTATACATGAGGCTATACATGAGGCTATACATGAGGCTATACATGAGGCTATACATGAGGCTATACATGAGGCTATACATGCTTTTATTGTGTACTCAATACACAAAATTAAATTTATAATTGTGTTTCAAATAAAGTTAATATTACAATACCAGCTCAGTTAAATCATAGCCAATTCCTTCTTTATTCAGAAAGTAATACTTTAACCTACAATTATCGATTGTAGATTAAAGAAAGAAAATAAGAAACACTGAAAACATTCCATTTCCCTTCACAGGTGTACATGTTATGCACAATTTACTTTAGAGTATATTACTTGATTGTTAATGTTCATAGTTTAAAAATTTGTAATTATTACCTGAAGCGAAAAATTAATTTAATTATTAAATGTTAGAGTTTTAAGAATTGCAAATCGTGATATATTTCTCTCGATTCCGATTATTGCAAACTGCTCTAGTATATATATATATATATATATATATATATATATATATATATATATATATATATATATATATATATATATATATATATATGTATTATATAATATTACATTATATTTTTGTACAGGTTTTGTACAGGTCCGATACTGGCCAAGACACTCCCAGTATTTACAGTAAGTTATCCAGTACTATTTGGAACTCATTTAAACAACTGGCTTATTATTAACGGTAGTGGCAGTATTATTATTATTAATTATTTATTTATTATTATTAACACACATAAATTACATTAAATTGATATATATCTATGAGTCACAATTAATTAATTAATTATTTGAGCGGCAGTTTATTCTGTGTCCATACTCATCCTGTGAGTGGTAGTTATTGTGCACCCTATACTCATCCTGTGAGTGGTAGTTATTGTGCACCCTATACTCATCCTGTGAGTGGTAGTTATTGTGCACCCCATACTCCTCCTGTGAGTGGTAGTTATTGTGCACCCCATACTCATCCTGTGAGTGGTAGTTATTGTGCACCCTATACTCATCCTGTGAGTGGTAGTTTATTGAGCACCTCACACTCATCCTGTGAGTGGTAGTCTATTGAGCACCTCAAAAAGATAATGGAGGACATAAAATGTCTTAATCAGTACCCATTGGGAGTTGTTTGACATTGTTACAATATTAACGTTCGCTCGTAAAGAGGGAATTGATTACCATCTTGGACTGCCTTTGAGCAGCCTGAGGGCAGCAATATCCCAGGAACATCAACTGAATTTCGGAGACTTGAAGCAAAGTGAAATTCACACCAGTTACTTTATCTATCATCATTCTATTATGCAGGAAGAACCGCACGTCTATGGGTCATCCAATAATGTTAGCAGACTTCTAGATGTTACCACTGCTAGGCTTAGGCTCGGCTACAAGTACCTCTGGGAATTTGTAACATCTGCTGATGTAGATTTACAAAATACAAATACAAATATTTATTCAGGTAAAGTACATACATACAGGGTGAGATACAAAAGTTGATGGATTTATAGATAGAGCTAGTACATACAATGCCTAAAGCCACTATTACGCAAAGTGTAATGGGTGTGGAGCACATGACTGTAAAGCTGTCGCCCAGTTGGGTGGGTGTGGAGCACATGACTGTAAAGCTGTCGCCCAGTTGGGTGGGTGTGGAGCACATGACTGTAAAGCTGCCGCCCAGTTGGGTGGGTGTGGAGCACATGACTGTAAAGCTGCCGCCCAGTTGGGTGGGTGTGGAGCACATGACTGTAAAGCTGCCGCCCAGTTGGGTGGGTGTGCAGCAAGACTAGTAACTGTGTGACTCACCATAGATGTAAAGTGCCTTGTATAGTGACTGTTGTGAGCCTCTTGTTGATCACTTGTGACACAAAAGATTATTGATGTATGTACTTGTGTGGGTGATTAAATATGTATGTGTACGCATAAGTATATATATATATGTACATGTATGTATGAGAATGTGTACATGTGTATATAACATTAATAATTTTGTAACTAACATCAAAAAATTGTTATTTGCTTAGCTAAACGAACTATAAAGGCTTCAGTTCCTGAACCAATTATGTGCCTCTGTATAATCCTTTACACCACCGCCCACGGGATGGGTATGGGGTGCATAATAAAGAAAGAAATTGAAATTGAATTCTTTGTCCAATGAGTTAGCCCGGACTACAATTACCAGGCCGAGCCGACGTGTACAGAAGTGTTGTTAATATATGTCATGAACTACCACACACAGGTGGTGGGGCGCACCGCTGGCATGACAAGGAGCAGATACATCACGCCAGGAAGACGGAGGGGGCCCAGCACAACACGGAACACCAGGATAAGCAGCGTGACGGAAAGGAGGATAAACACAAGGAGCCTCATGATGAACATAAACATGGCGTCTGCCTGGATAAGGAGCCTGTGGATAAGGAGCGTTTGGATAAGAAGCGTGTGGATAAAGACCGTGTGGATAAGGATAAGGAGCATGTGGATATGGAGTGTTTGCATAAGAAATCTGTGGATAAAAAGCGTATGGATAAGAAGCATGAGGATCAGGAGCGTGTAGATAAGGAACGTGAGAATAAGGAGTGTGACGATACGGAGCATGCATATGAGGTGCATGCAGAGTGTGCTGATACAGAGGGGTTGGATAATGAGAGTGAGAATGAGGAGAGTGAGCATGAGGATATGGAGAGTGTCGATATGAAGTGTGTGGATAAGGAGTGTGAGGGCACTGAGCGTGAAGATAATAATCACGAGGATAAGGAGTACGAGGATAAGGAACGTAATGATAAGGAGTGCGTGCATAAGGAGCCTGTGAACAATGAGCGTGAGTATAAGGAGCCTGTGAACAATGAGCGTGAGTATAAGGAGACTGTGAACAATGAGCGTGAGTATAAGGAGCCTGTGGACAATGAGCGTGAGTATAAGGAGCCTGTGGACAATGAGCGTGAGTATAAGGAGCCTGTGGACAATGAGCGTGAGTATAAGGAGCCTGTGGACAATGAGTGTGAGTATAAGGAGCCTGTGGACAATGAGTGTGAGTATAAGGAGCCTGTGGACAATGAGCGTGAGTATAAGGAGCCTGTGAACAATGAGCGTGAGTATAAGGAGCCTGTGGACAATGAGCGTGAGTATAAGGAGCCTGTGAACAATGAGCGTGAGTATAAGGAGCCTGTGGACAATGAGCGTGAGTATAAGGAGCCTGTGGACAATGAGCGTGAGTATAAGGAGCCTGTGAACAATGAGCGTGAGTATAAGGAGCCTGTGGACAATGAGCGTGAGTATAAGGAGCCTGTGGACAATGAGCGTGAGTATAAGGAGACTGTGGACAATGAGCGTGAGTATAAGGAGCCTGTGGACAATGAGCGTGAGTATAAGGAGACTGTGGACAATGAGCGTGAAGATAAGGAGCCTGTGAACAATGAGCGTGAGTATAAGGAGCCTGTGAACAATGAGCGTGAAGATAAGGAGCCTGTGAACAATGAGCGTGAGTATAAGGAGCCTGTGGCTATGGAACACTTGTATAATGAACTTGAAGATAAGATGCGTAAAGATACAGAGCAAGAGGATAAGGAGCACGTAAATAAGGAAGGTGAGGATAAGGAGCGTGAAGATCAAGAAGGTGAGAATAAGGAGCGTGACTGTTAAGAACACACCTCGGAAAATAACGTCGTCATGTCTCAGTAAGTGTTCAATTACTATCTTTATTGTTTAATGTTAAGTTCTGGACATTCTGACAAGTACCGCATCTGTGTATTTACCTAAAGTATTACATTCTCAATCCGTCCTCATAACACAGAGTCGCATCGTGAAGTGTACTCTACCTATGGCCAGAAATCCTCGTTTTTATCATTAAAAAATATAGAAAACGTTAGCGGCTCGGGAGAGTGACATACTGTACCGTTTTTTGTTTTGGGTCCTCTGGTAGGTTAGGATAAGAGGGCACCTTAGTACGACAATTTCTTGACGTTAGGAAACTCTAGGAGGACGGGCTGCTAGTTTACACTTTATCTAGAACGAAGAACTCAATTCTGGAAACATTCATGTATGAACACGTTAAACAGGCTACGAGCATGAGGGAAGGGGATGGTGTTGGGGGGTAGAAATAGCCTAAGCTACTCTATCCCTTTGAGATGTATTTATTGCTTATCTCAATAAACATACTTGAACTTGGAAGGGGATGTTCCCTCCACGCGGGATTTGATATTTACCAGGAACGAGGAAGAGATATTTGACATTCAGTACCTTCCTCCCTTGGGTAAAAGTGACCATGTCTTTTGGGGAATAAAATATGCAATGTGTTATAATCTGGAAGAGAATGAGGAGGTTGAAGTTAGTTTAGTTTAGTTCATTTATTATGCACCCCATACCCATCTTGTGGGCGGTAGTGGAAAGGGTTACAGAGGCACATAATGGGCTCAGGGACTGAACCCCACAAATCATTTAGCTAAGCAAGTTACAATCTTGATAAGTTAGTTACAAAATTAAGTATAAGTGGCGCAATTCCTTAACTGTAGCCTCTGTTTAACGCAACAGTAAAATGTGTACTTGGATGAAAAAACGATTCTTCGCGGCAGGGGATCGTATTCCAGGGACCATAGGATTAAGGACTTGCCCGAAACGCTACGCGTACTAGTGGCTGTACAAGAATGTAACAACTCTTGTATATATCTCAAAAAAAAAAAAATGTTGAAATCACAGTAGCGTGAGACTATTGATGCATCACGCTATTGTGACTTCTGTGTGTAAGGAAAAGCTTTTCTGTTAATATTGCTAACAAGACCTAACCATCCTAGGCCTAATACACGCTGTCTGAAGTTTAGTATAGTACATATATGTGCTATACTAGGCCTAGGAATATTTCTGTATGGTTTTTAACTATATCTTTCCGACACTAAAAATGATACGATAAGTGGCTTACTGGAGCGCCATTACTAAGAACATAAGAACAAAGGTAACTGCAGAAGGCCTATTGGCCCATACGAGGCAGCTCCTATCTATAACCACCCAATCCCACTCATATACTTGTCCAACCCGCGCTTGAAACAATCGAGGGACCCCACCTCCACCACGTTACGCGGTAATTGGTTCCACAAATCAACAACCCTGTTACTGAACCAGTATTTACCCAAGTCTTTCCTAGTCTACATAGTGGTGCTTTCGACCACATAGTTGCAAAAAGTACAATCATCTCAGGAGGATGGGTTGCAAAAACTGGGACCCCAGGCACTGAAACCCACCCTTCACCTACCTGTTCTTAAGTACACAAGCACATTATATGTGTCAAGTCGTTTTCCAACAGACATGACAGCACATTGTTTATAGGATACATTTTAGCAGACTGGGAGATAAAGTTAGAGACAGTGTAACATAACTATGGCAATTATATAGAGCATGGACTCTTATATAGCTACAATAATTTGTCTCTTTATTTTTCCACATTTCAGTTAGTACTGTTGCACTCTGGCATGAAGACCTCTGCTGATATGACAGTAAATGTTGCACTCTGGCATGAAGACCTCTGCTGATATGATAGCTTTTGTGTTGAAAGGAACTAACTTTTGAACGTTCCTCTTACCAGGTATCTTAAAAATATGTAGTGAAATTATCAAGGACAAGAATAATTCGAAATGCTTTACTTTTTTATCAGAGTTATGCACGTTTTAATACCCATAATAAATCCCATAATAAATATATATATATATATATATATATATATATATATATATATATATATATATATATATATATATATATATATATATATATATATATACATATATATATATATATAAGAGCTTTCTGTTTTATTTTCCCTTGTGTCATTGGTGTTCATAAGAACAAAGGCAACTGCAGAAGGCCTATTGGCCCATACGAGGCAGCTCCTATTTATAACCACCCAATCCCACTCATATACTTGTCCAACCCGCGCTTGAAACAATCGAGACCTCCACCACGTTACGCGGTAATTGGTTCCACAAATCAACAACCCTGTTACTGGACCAGTATTTACCCAAGTCTTTCCTAAATCTAAACTTATCCAATTAATACCCATTGTTTCGTGTTCTGATTTGTGTTGATACTTTTAATACCCTATTAAAATGATCATGTCACCCCTAACTCATGTCACCCCTAACTCTTCGCCTTTCCAGTGAATGCAATTTAAGCATTCATAATGCAATATCACTTCAAGTTGATCTAGATAGGGTTTTGAAATGGTCAAAGGATTGGCAGATGCAGTTTAATGCTGATAAATGTAAAGTTCTGAGACTAGGTAATGATGATAGAGTTACAAGATACGAGCTAGATGGTGTTGAGATTGCGAAAGGGATCTGGGAGTTATGATTAGTAAGAATTTAAAACAAAAGGATCAATGCATGAATGTTCGTAATAAGACAAATAGGACACTGGGATTTATTAATCGCAGCGTTAGTAACAAGACACCTGGTGTGGTTCTTCAGCTATATCTTGCTCTGGTTAGGCCCCATTTAGATTATGCAGTTCAGTTTTGGTCGCCGTACTATAGAATGGATATAAATTCACTTAAACGTGTCCAGCGTAGGATGACTAAGTTAATTCCCCAAATTAGAAATCTTTCATATGAAGAAGATTCTTTCATATCACATTGTGGAGGTGGGGTCCCTCGATTGTTTCAAGCGCGGGTTGGACATTTATATGAGTGAGATTGGGTGGTTATAAATAGGAGCTGCCTCGTATGGGCCAATAGGCCTTCTGCTGTTACCTTTGTTCTTATGTAAATGCAGTTCAGTTTTGGTCGCTGTACTATAGAATGGATATAAATTCACTTAAACGTGTCCAGCGTAGGATGACTAAGTTAATTGCACAAATTAGAAACCTGTCATATGAAGAAAGATTAACAAAGCTTAAATTGCATTCACTGGAAAGGCGAAGAGTTAGGGGTGACTTGACAGAGGTTTACAAGTGAATGAATGGACATAACACAGGGATATTAATAGGGTATTAAACGTATCAACACAAGACAGAACGCGAAACAATGGGAATAAATTGGATAAATTTAGATTTAGGAAAGACATGGGTAAATACTGGTTCGGTAACAGGGTTGTTGATTTGTGGAACCAATTGCCGCGTAACATTGTGGAGGTGGGGTCCCTCGATTGATTCAAGCATGGGTTGGACATGTATATGAGTGGGATTGGGTGGTTATAAATAGGAGCTGCCTCGTATGGGCCAATAGGCCTTCTGCAGTTGCCTTTGTTCTTATGTTCTTACCTAAAGCCACTAGTACGCATAGCGTTCCTATTTCCCTCATTCACTTTGCATTACACCTCACCTTAACGCCGGTGGTATATAAAAGTCGACCAAATACAGGTCAGTCAAATACACTCAATCAAGTGGGTTGCTTAATCGTTTGTCACCTTACATTATTCAACATGCTCACTATTCAGGATAAGGCTCAAATGAGCAGTGCACATCTTGATGAACTCCTCTCTCAGGGACAATATATAGACGAGGGCGCTTTTGGTATTGTGTGGCGCGTTCCCTGGGGGAAAGGACATGCAATTTTGAAGACAATGAAGGAGATCTCAGCAAAAGCCTTCAGAACAGAGCTGTTTATCATGGAAAGACTTAATGGTGCAGGTGGAGCTCCGCGACTCCTCGCAGTGTGCTACGAGCCAAGAGCCATAGTGATGTCTTCCCGGGGCGAGTTAACACTTTCAGACGCCATCGAGGAAGATCTTCCAGACTGGCATCTCATCTATATTGTTTTGAAGGTTGGTCAGTGCCTGCGCGAGCTCCACGGGCGTGGAGTTATTCATAATGATATTCATGCCCGCAATGTAAGGGTGACCCTCTCTCCTTGGAAGCCACCTAAAGTATTCCTAATTGACTTTGGACTGTCAACCCTCAGCCAAGATGCCCTGGCGACATTAAGCCAAGAGGACAGAAGTGAACTGGAGCCAATGAAAAACCTGACATATTCCCAAGATGTGAAGTTTCTGGGGCGGATGCTGCTAAATATCTTTGACATAATAGAGGTAAAATTTGATTCTATAATAGAAATAATTGCAATGACATGGACAGATATGTGTGAACCAGCGCCGCTTGACGACATTCTCCTGAAGCTAAACTTAGTACTTGCTAACGACTTCAAGATCAACTTATCTACCATGCATGACCCTGAGAGTAATGAATACACAGCTGGTTTATGTACTATGCATGACCCTCTGAGTCGTGTCTACACACCTGGCTTATCTACCATGCAAGATCCTGAGTCCTGTGCATGACCATGAGTCCTGTACATATACCCGACGTATCTACTATGCATGATTTTAAGTCCTGTTCTTATCTGACTTATATGACATGCAAGTAATCTTTTAATGAATTATAAAGACATTGGAAACTGCGTATTTTTGTAATAAATTTATATGGATAATAAAATAAAGTTTCTCTAATAATTGTTTTTATGTTCCTATATCATGGTGATTTAGTACAAGCATTTGCATTAGGCACCAACAAGAAATTTAATATGTTTATTTGTGATGTGTGTCTATGTATGTATTAACACGTTGTACTAAATGGGGTGAGAATAGCTTGAGCTACCTCATCCCCTTGTGTGTATTTTACCTCAATAAACTTATTTCAATTTCAACAAGAAATTTTGGAGACCTGAATTGGTATCTTACCAATCAGGTCAAGTCTATATGGGTGGGGACGAGGACAGGTACCAGGGAGGATGTAATTAAACAAATAGTAAAACTAAAATCAAACAAATCCCCAAGGCCGGATGAAGTGTTTGTCAGGGTGCTTAAAGAATGTAAAGAGGAGCTTTCCACCATATCTATGGTGGCTTTATCTACCATATTTATAATAAATAAATAAATATTAAAAAATGATTAAGGACATGCCCGAAACGCTATGCGTGCTAGTGGCTTTACAAAAATGTAAGAACTCTTGTATAAATAAATAAATAAATACAACGAAATTAAAGAAATAAGTAATTCAGTAAACATACGAAAACCGTTTTCAAATCTGGCGGCAAAATCTTTGGCGAGTGAAGATTGTCTGTGATTGGTGGATCTTCTGCACTCTTTTATAACGTTGTTCTCTACAGCTTATAATATTGTAGTGACAAATTTGATGCTTGGTGTAAAGGGTGTGACATTGTGAGGGCGAGAGTGGTGAGTGATGGTGGCGGGGGGGGTTGAGCTAGAGGTGTAAGGAGAGCTGAGGGCCGGGGAGGAGCACCAATGGGGTGACAGTTGAGGGCGGCGAGTGACGGGGTTCAAACCGGGTGGTTGAGTCAGCTCGTGTCGCAGTAAACAAGGCTCGACTCGCCGCCCTGTAAACACGTAAGTCCCTTCCCTTCATATTACCTCTCACATGACCCCCAGTGTGGCGTCAGCAGGCCAGGTGTATAGCCTCGACAGTCAGTGGTGTAGCTAGACGTCCTGGAGGACGCCACATATACACACCTCTGCTCTCCTGTCTTAGTCCATCATCAACAACAACATTATTATTTCTCGCTTCCTGAGCTGGCTTTTTTTTCCCCATTAACTAAGCCATGAGCTTGATGTCTTGGCTGAGTGGTGAGGGTGTGGCCGGGTGCCCCAGCCCACACCTGGAGCTACAGGCGGGTACTACTGCGGTAGCAGCACACGGTACGTACCGTAGACCAGCCCTGGTACCCCCCCCACTCACCCCTGGTACCCCCACTCACCCCTGGTACACCTCACGCTGTCTAACCTCCTGTAATACCACCTACGTCTCGTCACGTTGTGCTGTGGCCAGGTTTGGGTCCCTAATTTTGGGTAGGAGTGTTGGCATTGTAATATAGCTATTGAAAAGTATGTTCAGTAGTGTAAATTGTTCAGTGCTTATAAATTGGTCGAGTATGTGGATACCGGGGCGGTAAACCATGGCACTAGATGCCTGTCACTGCTGTTCTTTCATTCTAAATATTCATTTTATTAAAAATAAAATGTGTTCATTGGTGGAAGTGGAGGTATCCTTGCCCGGGCGTGCAATAGTTGTCGGTGTGGTGCAGTATACAGTAGTTTACTGTGTATACATCTACCTTGGTATTAGGGCTAAAAGTGCCATGTTTTATTAGAAGGTTCAAAAGCAGGTTTACCACTTGTCCTCTCCCACCCATCACAGCCTTGTGCTTTTGCTTGGCCACTATTCCTTCCTCCCATCCCATAAATCCTTATCCTGACCCCTTCCCAGTGCCCTAGTCATAATGGCTTTGTGGATTCTCCTGATAGTTCCCTTACCTTGTGGTGGTTCTGAGGATCAATGTCCCCGTGGCCCGGTCTCTGACCAGGCCTCCTGGTTGGTGGTCTGGTCAATGAGGCTCTTTGAAAGGGCTGCTCGCAACCTGACATGAATCGGTCTAGTTGATCGGGTATCCTTTGGAGGCGTTTGTCGAGTTCTTTCGTACGCTGTGAGAGGTTGGCCAGTTATGCCCTTATGTGAAGCAGGAGAGTGTTGAACAGTCTTGGGCCAGTGATGTTGATAGAGCCATATTGTACCTCTCCTTTTTCAACGGAGGTATTCTGCCATGCCTCCTGATCTCGTGTGATATTTCCATGTGCAGATTTGGAACCAATCCCTCTTAATATTTTCCAGGTGTAAATTACGGTGTAACACTTGCATGTGCTCTAGAGAATATAGGTTTAAAAGTTTTGAACAGTTCCAATAATTTAATGTTTTATGAAGTGGATTCTAGGAGTAAAGTATCTTTGCGCATTCTCCAGGTTGGCAATTTCTCCAATTTTGATGGACTGTTGTTCAACAATATTCTACCCTGGAGAGCACTAGTGTCTTGAAAAGTATCATTGGTATGGCATCCCTTGTTTGGAAGGTCCTTGTTATCCAACCTGTCATGTTTCTTGATGTTATGACAGCTACTTTGTTCTTTTAAAGGTTTTCTGACATGATTACTCCCAGATCCTTTACATTTTTTTTTTTGTTCCATAGTATAATTTGACTGCATTTTATGTGTGGTTTCTAATTTTATATTTTCATTCTTTCCATGGTGCAGTAGCTGGAACTTGTGTTCGTCAAACATCATATTATGTGACCCATTGACTTTATTTACATCAGATTGGAGGTTTGATGTGTTCTGTATACAGTAATTGTCTAATTTCATGAAAATCATAGTGTCTGCAAATTATACCCTACTACAGTTTGTATATACAGTTTAGGAAATAGGAAGTATAGGAAAAAAAGTTTGTCCTGTATAGTTCGAGTTTCCTGGTATTACTATAAATTCATGACCATGTATATTATGTACTGTAGTTTGAAAAAAAAAGTCCACGAATACTAGTCTAGCTCTTTTTGGACACAATCCTAAGAGGATGAGGGGGGGGGGGACATGCAGTTCATATCTGGTGGTTTTTATGTGAAATAGTTTATTAAACATGAACATCTTGTATCCCTGATACCTAAATTAAGTTTCAGAGAAGTAGATTAGATTTTGTTTTACAACTTAACCTTTGGGCAGGGGGGGGGAAGGGGGAACACTGAATATTTTGGTTATGGAAAGTAATTACATTTAATAAAGCAATTTGAATATTATCTTGGCAAAGAATGAGTGGGAAGTGGTGGGTGTGGAAGATGTGGCGGGCAGGAAGTCATCTGGTCACATGAACACTTCCGTGGAGAATGTGACCCAAAAGAATTTGCTGCCTACCCTTTGTGGTATTGTACTGCAATCATGACATGTTTTTTTAGGAAGCATCACTGTTTTAAAAGTTTAATCTTGCTGTTTATTTTTCTTCCATTACATTAAATGTTGAGCAGACTATCAATAAGTTTTTTGTTAATGGCCATAACACAGGGATATTAATAGGGTATTAAAAGTATCAACACAAGACAGAACGCGAAACAATGGGAATAAATTGGATAAATTCATTTTGTAGTTAATTTGTATATGAACAGGGAAGCAGTCCAGCATGGAGGTGACAGAAGAGAACCTTGGGAGGCTGGTGGAGGTGTTGACTCACACATTCTCTCTCGATGTCACTCAACGTCGCTCAGGTAATTTGTAAATATTCTGTGGTGATTAATTTATTGCTTATACAGTAATGGAGTATTCATTTGTAATTGATTTAGCTTTTTAATTCAGTAGTTTTAATATGCCAGTATAAATATTTTTCCTTTTAAGTTATACCACTCGGTTGCTCCCCAATGCAAAATTCTACCGATGTCTGGTTAGGCTCTGGCATACTGGTACAGCATGGGGGGGGGGCACTTCTGTTCCTGCCAGATCATACTGGTACTATCTTGAGGTCATCTTGAGATGATTTCGGGGCTTAGCGTCCCCGTGGCCCGGTCCTCGACCAGGCCTCCTTTTTGTTACCCCCCCTACCCCCCAGGAAGCAGCCCGTAGCAGCTGTCTAACTCCTAGGTACCTATTTACTGTTAGATAATAGGGGGCATCAGGGTGACAAACATTTTTGCCCATTTGTCTCCGTCTCTCCCTGGGATCGAACCCGGAACCTCGGCACTACGAATCCGAAGCGCTGTCCACTCAGCTGTCAGGCGGAGTGGACAGCGCTCTCAGCATTCTCACCTAGTGCTAGAGACCAGAGAATGCACAATCCTGCCTATAATGTTGACTAACCCTGCATTTCCATAAACTCGAAAGCTTTTCTAGATGGCATTAGAAAGGCTATCTAACCATGCTCTTAACTACTGGCATTGAATGATATTGTCAGTGCCCTATCTTCTTAGCTTGCTGAAGAACAGCATGCTGTCACTCCGTGAATGTTGCTAACAGGCTGCATGGACACCAAAATGAAGCCCTCTAAAGCTATTCTCCCCACGTTGTCCTGACTGGCCTCGGCTGTCGGTTATACGGACAGTCCAGAACCCGACTTGAGTAGCTTGTGTTATTGTAGAGTACTTTTACTTTTGATTTTGTTGTAGATTCATTCTTCATTAATGCTATGAAAAGTTATCCAATACATCGTGTTGCAATGGAGGCCTTTACTGACTGCCAGATTTCAACCATCTCTTAACCAGTGGTTAGTTGATGTTGCCTTAGGAAGCAATCACATGTACTCACATGGTATGATTTTTTGCAGCGGAGCAGTTCTTGAACCAAGTTGAGAGCCATGAGAATTATCCTGTACTGCTTCTGACATTGCTAACCCGTGATGAAACACAAGTCCCCAAAAATATCAAAGTTGCTGCAGCAATCAACTTGAAAAATTTGGTGAAGAGAAATTGGATAGTGGTAAGTGACATCTTTGTTATTTTATTTGTAATTGTCAATTACAATTGTAATTGTTGTAGGTTTGTGATGTTAATGTTATATACATGACAACTCTTAAGTGTACAAGTGACAAGTACAGTGTTCGGCTTTCAAATTTTTGGTTATATTACCGTAGAACCCGTTATTCAGATTCCCACTGTTTGGATTATCCAGACAGATAATGCTTCTTTCTCCTCTGTAAATCTGATAAATATGAGGTCCATGCCTCTTGAGGGAAGTCTTGTACCACCTTAACAAAAAGTAAATTATATCAATAAGCCTATATACAGTAATATCAAGGGTAAAAAATTTATTAATGCCATAATTCAAATATGGTGGAAAGCTGTAAATTACTGCAAGAGTTTGTGTACTTTATCAATAAAATAGTTGAGGCATGTGTGTGGCAAGAGCCAGCCCTGACTGACACTATTGTGGTTTCTCTCTCTGGCTGTTAATGTTAGCCCATCCTAAATAACATTATAAAAATAGCATGCCTAACACTAACGTGAGAATCATAACATTTGTTTCACAGGGTCACTGGCATGCAATGGAAGGAGTTGCCACTAACATCCACCCATATTCCCTTGCTCATAGTTGCTCCACTTAATTTCTGTATGTGTTACGGCCACAATGGGTCGCAACCGGGTTCTTTTCTGGTGGTACTAAAGTTCTGGTATCCAACCCAAAGTTAGTGGCGGCTTTCAAGGAGTGAGCTCGGTAATGCAAGTAAAACACACTGGGGAGGTGCATTGAATACTACACTTCATTATCAATATATTCATATATAATCCTAAAAGTATTACTACACTTAATATGTACACAAGTGTGTCTCTCATAGGACACTAAGTGCTATTCGATGCAGTCTTGTCAGATACAGTGTTTCCTCAACACAGTACTGTCCTCAACTAGTACTGAGAAACGCAAAGTCTACCCTGGCCATGGGCCTGCCAAAACAGTCTCACTAGGTGCTCTCCATGCACGCCCACAATCGCTCTCCAGCCAAGAAGCTCCAGGAGCTTCTTGCAACTCGCTGGTTACACTCCTCAGCAGCACCTTAACTGTCGGTCGTCTCTTCCGTTAGCCGGTCCCGGGTACGCCGAATTCCGCCACTGCCACTTCACAGGCACACAGTAGAACACTTCACAGTTCTACTCCGGCGGCAGCTCAATGCTTCCGTAAAGCAGAATGGAGTAGACATATTGGCTGCCCTGGGTAGACTGACTATCCTCGTACCACAGCAGCCCTACGTCGACTCTGTGGATACAGACACGTCATCAGTAAACTCTGACATAGACATACAACTCCTCCTTCAATAGATGGTGCTGATTTTCTAAGCACCACCTCACCATATGTCAGCACCAGCTACCTCTCAAGCTGACTAGTACAGGAATCTAGTGCCTTTTGCTGGTATAATCCTGTTACCACTAGATGGCGTCATCCATGTTGTGGGGGTTTCCGAAGCGGACTCACAGATGGCGTTGACGTCGCTGCTCCGTGCTCAGACGATGGAATCGGGTTCGTAACAGTATAATAAATTCATCCACTGGATTTATTATGTTTATCAACAAAGTTGAAATAGATATACAATTGGCATTTTAATGACATGTGTTACAACAGCACAATTGTCACATAACAAAGTTGATGTTGGTAACTGCACTTGTAGTGTCTCGTGCAAGAATTTATGAAAACAAAATTCATACTACAAATCGGGTTTATCCGTTGTAATGTGCCTTCTATTGGTCTTCATCACTTGAACAAAAAGTGGGCTGCTGGAAATACACAAAACTGAGCGTGTCAATGGTACAAGTTTTATCCTAGAACCAATTGCTTGTGAATGTATAAATACTGTGTTGTAATTTGTTTCAGGATGAAGATGGAACGAATAGGATTAGTACCAATGATAGGACTGTTATCAAGCGAGAAATTGTCGACCTGATGTTAAGGTCGTCAGAAGGAGTTCAGCGGCAGCTTTCTGAAGCTATTTCCATCATTGGAAAGTCAGATTTTCCCCATCAATGGCAAGATTTAATCCCTTACATGGCTGAAAAGTTCAAATCGGGTAAGTTACAGAAAAAATTCTAAGCAGTTTTGTGAATGTTTCGTAAGCTATGCAACTTGAACCTGTCCTGAAAGTAGTCCATAACGATGGTCATCGTAGTCTTGATGCAGTTCTTGAAAAAATCATCTTAAAGGGTTGACTTCTTATAGAAAATCCAAAACTTTTTAAGTTTCCTTTTATTAATCCATTTCTGTACCACCTAATTGATTAGTTGCAGCATACCGTAATTTTGTTCAGCTATTGAGAAATTAAATGCCCATAGTTAAAAGAGGCCGACTTGCATGTACTCTAGAATGGTGGTATCAATGTATTCGCAATAGAATTCCCTACGGGATGCATATAATGTCTTAAACTGCAGTGCGCCCCACCCGCAGCCAAGTTGAATGCATCCCATGCTGTACCTGTGAGCGAAGACCCATTGGCCCACCCACAGCATGGGACGATAACAATGGGCCTACCTCGTGGGACGCACTGGGTCGGTGCGACATGGCCCATCTCTGAAAATTGGAAGACGTTGGTGCTAATTTTGAAACCAGTCCCAAAACAATCGAATAAAAAACAGATTTTTAGCAAATATTTTAATTGTGGACCCCAAAATGTGTCTTGAGCGAATATTCTAATAATAAATTGTTGATGCCTCGAGGCATCTAGCGAGTGCGAAAGTTAAATTATTTAAAAGGTAATCAGTTTTTTTTTTTTTTTTTTTTTTTAATAATAAATCTCTTGCACATATAGCATTAGAGCAGATTGATAGACATTTGCATTATTTGACTTAAAGCATGGACAATGCAAAGTGTAAGCTTATGTTCAGTGGTAATCAAACCTTTTAATGTAATCTTACTTTTTAATGGAGTAAGAATACACTTGAAGGCCCAATACATCTTGAAAATTGCAGACTTTGAATTTAAAAATACTGTATATTAGTGACCATATTTTAATAGAGTAGCAGATCTTTTATACAAGAAACTCTATAGTAAGTACCCTGTACTGAAATTATTCATACTAGTGACTAATGGGCAAATTTCTCTTCTTAAACAGGCGACTTTAACATCATCAATGGAGTCCTTCAAACGTCTTATTCTGTAATGAGGCGGTATGAATTTGAGCACAAATCGGATGATCTTTGGCGAGAAATAAAATTCGTCTTGGAGAACTTTGCCCAACCATTAACGAACCTCCTTGTGGTAAGTTCTTGTGTAAGGCAACTTAAACAACCTGGGTATTTTGGTTTTTAAGAGAATTTATTCCTTGGTTATAAGCACCTGACATTTCTAATTTTATCAATTTTCCTATTACAGGTATATCTATTAATATTGGTTAGTAATTTAGGAATGAGGCGTTGGAAAGGCAGGCAGATTATCCAAAAGATATCACTAACAAACATTATATTTTGTAATGCCATCAGTATTATTAATGCAATTGTGTGTATGCCTAAAAAATAATGAATAATGAAGTGATTTCTTTGTATACAAGAGAAATCTGAAAAGCCTAACCCCAGTCCACTATATGGCATAAGAGTTTGAAATGAAATAATTAGTAAGGAAGGATTGTGCCTGTTATTGAAGGAAGAATGCCATTGGCCAATAAATGGCTTCTTGTGTTGCAGGTCAAAGCACTTGAGCATAAAATGAAGTTTGAAAGAATAGAGGTAATTTGTGATTGCATTTGCTCTACACAACAGACATAAGGGTGAAATGTGTTTTAAGTCAGTTTAGTGGTCGATTACCGGTGGTCTTCAGAATAGTGAAGGACAACTTGAATGATGGGTAAGGGTTGGTTGATAATGGTGCGATGGGTTTCTATTGTTCACCCTACACCCCCCCCCCTTTTCCTCCATCCTTCCTCTTCCCAATACCATGTTATCTTGATGATTTTGGGGCTTTAGTGTCCCCACGGCCCAGTCCTCGACCAGGCCTCCGCCCCCAGGAAGCAGCCCGTGACAGCTGACTAACTCCCAGGTACCTATTTACTGCTAGGTAACAGGGGCATCACGGTGAAGGAAACTCTGCCCATTGTTTCTCGCCGGCGCCCGGGATCGAACCCGGGACCACAGGATCACGCGTCCAATGTTCTGTCCGCTCAGCCACCGGCTCTGTTGCTCCCACTTTTACCGCTACTCGGCCCCCCCCCCCTCTGCCTTTTCGATTCCAACTCGCTGACAGGACAAAAGTCGACATGGTTAACACCGAACACCTTGGAACACTGGGAAATCCTTGGACACCAGATACAACTGTTCTTAGACAAGACAAAGAAGTTGCTCATGCAAGCACGTCTCTTCGTACTCCGCCTAATACAGTAACGTTTTTAATTGACATTAATGACTTGAAACCAACAACGTGACTAGCCACTTATTCTTTTCAGACCCTCTAAATATTAAAAAAAAAGTTCTTTTTGTACAAATTAGGATGTTGCTAATTAAAAGTTCTTGTTTTAACAGGAACTGATGAAGTTTGCTGGTGATAATCTGACCAATGCCACAGCCCTAAAGGTAATCTTATCGTCCCTGGTGTCAGTTGGAAAGCTGTTTCTGGCCCTCAATTCCCAGGATCTTCCCGAGTTCTTTGAGGATAATATGGCAGTTTGGATGGAACATTTTCTTACGTTACTTAATTTTACAAGTCCCCTGCTAGTTTCTCAAGATGATGAAGTTGGAGTTTTGGAACAGGTGAGAATATTTTGTATTCAGTAAAGAGTGTCTACCTGCCGAGTTTATCATGAAATTTTGTACAATGTCTTGATGGATGTTACGAGTTGTGATGTGCACCATACTGGTCTTTAGCTCTAGGACTGTACTGGTTATAACCTTACAAACATTGAAGAAAATATAATGTATTGGTTCTTGTTGACTGGTTATCCTGCTCGCCTGAGACACTTGCTGTGGACCAGAGTGTGACACTTGTTGGTAGAATAATTTTTTTTTGGTGGAAAATCTTGTGAAAATATTGAGCTAAAAATGATTGGAGCTATTAGATATATGTATTGTATTATAACTTGTGCTGAAGGGTTCGGTTTTCATTTTGGCGAGTAGGATATTCTATTTATCAGCCTGACCTATTTCCACAGATTATATTAGTTATTTAATCAGAATTCTACATACATTGTTGTACATAAAGCTTAAATCTCATTTCTCTATTAATAATAGTAATAAATTAATAATTTAAATCTTGAATGGTACATTAAATTATCCCACATTGACTTGTGCAGTGGGGCGAGATGTCACAACCTTCCCTTATTGACATGTATTGGAAGGGCTAGGCCTAATTAGTGTGTACTAAATTAGGCCTAAGGTTTAATGTAAGGCCTATAAATGCATATTTAGGTATTTATAGGTAAAATTAAGTTTATACTCACCATTTCACATTTTGATATGGTCCTTTAGTTATAAATAGTACAAATTGTGAAAGTTTTGTCTATACATTAATCCATATTTTGTACATTGCATTCACAGTAGCTATAAGCACTTACCATGTTTGGAGAATAGGTTAACATATAGTGTTCAGACACTTGGAAAATGTTTTGGGTATCTTTCCAAATGCCTTTTGATTTGAATTGTTTGTAGTCGACATACTTTTTAACTTTTCTTTTTTTTAACAGGTAAAAAGTCAAGTTTGTGAAGACATAACTTTATATGCTGCAAAGTACAGAGAGGAATTTGAACCATTTATAGAAAAGTTTGTAACTGCTGTTTGGAACCTTTTATCAACCACTACTCTGGCTGTTAAGTTTGATCAGGTAAGATTTTCAGAATATAAATTAGTTAATGGCAGTAGCAAGCAAAATTTCAGTACACTACAGGGAGTCACCACTATCCATACAGTTGTACTGTACATCTGAACAGCCTCCCAAATCCCCATTCTCGTCTCAGTGCACTACGTGTCGATAAAAACTGTCCACATAACCCATTGCCATGCTGTGACCCACACTGCCTCGGTCAGCAGTACCATCATCCCCCCCTTCCCTCATAAAAAGTTAATCCAGTTTATTCCCAAAATTCTAATAGAGTAAGACAATTTCACAAGTTACTGTTGGCAGCAAACCAGTTGGGTTGTTTACCTTGACACTTGTCAGTCTCTGCACGATTCTTGTGTTTATTCTTTCACACACTCTCACACAATTTTAATATTATAATAATATTGTAATTGTAAAGTATATATTTAAAAGAAAAAGGGAAAGCTAGAAGGTAGGTAATAAAAAGGTTAGTCACTGTTAAGTACCACTAACAGTTGCCTATGCTTATTAAACAAGCCTAAAATCATTTTCATTGTTCTCTGTACTATTATATTTATACATATATATATATGTATGTATAGAACTTTAGATACTCACACCCACCAGGGGACTTGAACACTGGCCATCAAGATGGCAGGTACACACTTGTATCCACTACACCATACTTCAGAGCCCAAAAGTACAAGTACGTACCTGCCATCTTGATGGCCAGTGTTCAAGTCCCCTGGTGGGTGTGAGTGTCTGAAGCTTTATACTTCAAACTTGTGGTTTATAAGAAAGTCTGTGCATTAAGCATGGGCACAGAGTTCTCCCATATAACAGGGCTTGATGAAAAACGCTAGAGATCCCTCACTGTCTCATTGCCTGGAGAGGATGGGATATCTGGTTGGTTAAATACCCCGGAATTCCCACCTCTTTTGGGCGAGATATATAACATGTAAGTTATTATATGTCTCGCCATGGGTCTCAAGAAAGTCAGTGGTAAGGTTCAACCTAAGAAAATAGCTGTGAGTAGAGGCAGAGGATGTCACTTTCTCATTAAGAAAATGTTTGAAGTATGGGAACTGCAAAGTTTTGTTGAAAAAACTCGCCCAGATAAAGCTGCAGCAGGCCGTTGCATTGACCCTTTAAATGACAATGTGATGTCTTATTACAGACAAGTGTTAAAATGGTTTATTTAGATGAATTGGGTATAAAGTTTAGTTTGAAGTGAGGTTTTTGGGTAGTCAGGAACAGATTAATTCATTTCCCATTATTTCTTATGGGGAAATTGGCTTCGGATTAAGAGTTTTCGGAATACGAGCTGTCTCCAGGAATGGATTAAACTCTTAAACCGAGGTACCACTGTACTGTATAGTCTTGTTTGTAAAGTGTTTGCTCCTGATAATTACTGCCTCTTTTGGCTAGTGTCATGGGTAGCACACTTCTAGCATTGTGCAAGCAGGAGAGATGTATCTAATTCCTTGCTGCAATTGATGGTACACTGTCAGGTTAACTAATGCTGGCAAGACGTGGGACTACACACACACCCCCCCCCCCCCTTCGAGTGGCATTCCTTCGGTCATGAACAAGAGTTGATATAATCTGCTTCACTGTTATAACTCTTAATGTTTGTAGAGTGAAATTAGTGTGGTAACTTAGGTGATGCATGTGATTAACTTGGCTGATGTTACAGATGGTGAGTCATGCTATTCAGTTCCTGTGTGCGGTTGCAGAGCGGGATCATAGCAAGGGCCTATTTGAAAATGAGCAGGTACTCTCTGGTATATGTGAAAAGGTCATTCTTCCCAACATGCATTTGAGACGTAAGTTCAACATTGTGATTCTATCACCATTTTGGGAGTGAGGCCATTGTATATGGTGTGTATCCATTGGGTATAGTTTAAGAGTACCGTAGTTATTGCTGGGAATAATGTTTAGGCAGTAGTGCAGTTATTTTAAGATTTTGGTCTAATATTAAAAATTATAATATCTGGTATTGGTTTAGTGAATTAATTCTCCTATTAATAAGTACTGTAGTGTTATTAACATGCCTGTGTCTTGACATTGTACTAGTTTATCTAAATTGAGAATTGGCAAGTGGCGAGTACTAATTAAGTCTTTTATGAAAGTGGACAAGGGGTTGTAGGTGTCTGCAGTTTGTGTCTGAGAGACTGCAGGATCCATATGGGAGCAGTAGCACTCCCGGTTGCAATGCCTTGTATCATGTTATCATATCATGGCACAGTCGACAAAGGTGCGTCTGGGATTATCCTGGACATAAGTTCGAACCCTCATCATAGCCCTTGTGAATTTGTTCATTTGATATGTCACACTATTGTGATTCCTGTGTGTATGACGGATACAAATTACCTGATGCTGGATTATAGTGAAGGTGACTTTCTTTAAAGTCGATTACTTTTTAAAATCCTGTTGATCTGATCCTCTTGATCTGTTTTACAAAATAAACTACACATTTTTATACCACAAATTATGGGCTTAGCGTCCCTGCAGCCCTGTCCTCAACCACGCCTCCTGGTTGCTGGACTGGACAACTAGACTGTTTGATGCAGCTACTCGCAGCCTGATGTGTCACAGCCTGGCTGATCAGATATCCTTTGGAGGTGTATGTCAAGTGTTCAAGAGAACGCTGTGAGGGGGTCGGCCAGTTATGCCCCTTATGTGTAGTGGAAGCGTGTTGAACAGTCTCGGGCTTCTGATGTTGATTGTTCTCCCAGAGTACCTATTGCACCTCTGCTTTTCAACGGATATTCTGCACATCCTGCTCTACCTTCTGGTCTCATGTGGGTAATATACCTATTTATCTGGATTGGGGCACCAGGGTGTCCAGACACTGGGCTTGTGGTGAATCATACATGATCAGTTTGTGGTTAATATCTTGGTAGGTACTGTATGCCCAGCATCCATTTTAGTAATTTTAAACTATATTTTTTATTAAACTAAAATTTTGTTAGTTCACTGTTAATTGGCAATATTGCCCAAAGGGTAGAGGTAGCATGTGAATGATGGTATGTAGTCTATATACAAAATAATATTAGAGCTCTGCATTCTAATGCAAAGTTACACCCTTTGCCTTCCTTTTCCAAAATGTGGGGTTAGCTTATTTTCATGTAACATTTAATATGTATTGGGGGGGGGCCTTTCTCTCCCCTTTCCCAGCCATTTTTTCTCTCCACAAAATTGCTTTTCCAAGGATATCCATTAAGGACATTGTCTTGTGACAGAGGCAAAAGATTGAATGAATCCTTGGCGTGGAATTAAACTTTTATATCTCGAGCATTCTTTTCTTGTATGTTACCTTGGAATTCTTAATTTACAGCATGTGATGAGGAATTATTTGAAGAGAGCCCAGACCAGTGGGTGGCACAGGAACTGGAAGGTGCAGATTCTGAGACTAGGCGAAGAGCAGCTGTGGACTTTGTTAGAGTACTGTCAAGACACTTTGAGGCGAGAATGACTCAAGTTTTTGGCCAGTATGTTCAGGTGAGCAGTTGAACGTGTAATAGTGATTATTGACTTAATCGGAAATCTAGTAACGGCCATTTTGTGTCTTCTCTTTTAGAAGATTAGTGCTGCTAAATGTTTGATATAACCAGTATTACTACAGCAACTGAGATAAATACTGTATTAAAGCCATATAAGGTTCAGATGGGAAAAATCCATTTCCTATGCCATATTGGATGTCTCAACAGTTATAATATATGGTATTACCTGAGCAGGTGGCACAAACGTGGGCAAGAAATCTTTTATCTTGCACTAGATATAATGAACAGTACCATTTGCTTCAGGATTTTAAGTCTGCATTTGTATCTGCCTAGAAAATGAATTTAGCAGCTTGTCTTGGCATCAAATTTATACTTACAAACTACATTTTTAGTACCTAAAGTGAGCGGATCTGTGTAGTTTCAATGTATCCGTATCCTAAACATATGTTTTGCACAAAGGAGATATCATGATTATTAGAAGTGTCAATGTAAAGCTAATCACACAGAAGTCCAACTGAAAGATGAAGAGTTCCTTAAAAACTACCTGTTCATGCAGACCATTTCCTACACTTATCTTGAGGTTATCTTGAGATAATTTCGGGGCTTTAGTGTCCCTGCGGCCCGGTCCTCAACCAGGCCTCCACCCCCAGGAAGCAGCCCGTGACAGCTGACTAACACCCAGGTACCTATTTTACTGCTAGGTAACAGGGGCATAGGGTGAAAGAAACTTTGCCCATTGTTTCTCGCCGGCGCCTGGGATCGAACCCAGGACCACAGGATCACAAGTCCAGTGTGCTGTCCGCTCGGCCGACCAGCTCCCACTTAAACAGAATTATCACTTAACATTGTTTTGTCAGCTGTCATTACAGCAATTTTCTAAATATTGGGAGTTGTAATAAAGTACACTGTATTTGGGACATGCGCATACACAAATCCTGAATATTTACACATTTTATGAACATGTATATTCAACCAAAGGTGAATAATTAATAAATATTCACTTTCCTGAAATGATGCATTAGGAGTGTCCTTGTGCACAAGGTTGTGAATAACCTACTGTTCCAAGGGTTATCTCTGGTTGTCTGCAGTATTTATTAATGAAATACTGCCTCCTGGTTAGACCAGTAGCTTTCCCCACCCTTCTAGGGGCATCGGTTGGATGTCCTAGGCTCCGTACTATGTATTGTTGATATGGGAGCTGGCAGCTCCAGGGGGTGCTGCCACCTAGTGGCCAGCTAACTGTAACTATGGTGGTTTAGGCTAATGGATAGATTGTGCACTGTTATTTGCTGCTTCATTCTCTTTACTGTGAACTTTGCAATTGTTTACTTTCACTTACTTTCTGGCTGCTTCCTTTGGTAAGGGTGATTGTAAAGAATCCCCTGCTCTCTCTCTCTCTCTCTCTGCCTCTGTGAAGTGGGGGCAGGTTCTGGCCTACAGTAGGCTGGGCACCTGGGGCTGATGTAAACTCCTGTAATTACATGAGTGCAGTTACAGGATGAGAGCTTTGCTTGTGCTGTCCTGTCTCCCCAGCCAGCACCGTCATATAATGCTCTGAAATGTTGGCCTCCACCTTCTCGCTTGCTCCAACTGTGTACCACTTTTGTAAAAAGTGAATTTTCTTGTATATTTTTGGCAGCTTTGTTTAGTTTAAATCTAGGCCCTCTTGTTCTTGAAGTTCCAGGGCTCGGTAATATATCCCTATCAATTTTGTAGATTCCCATCACTATTATGTATGTAGTGATCATATCGCTTCTTTTTCTTCTTATCTTTGAGTTTTGGCATATTTAATTAATGCCTCTAAATGCTCCTCATAGCTCTTGTCCTTCAGTTCTGGGAGCCATTCAGTTTTTTGCACCCTATCCAGTTGGTTCATGTGTTTAAAATATGGGCACAATATAACTGCTACATATTCCAGCTTTGGTCTTACAAAGGTCGTAAGCAATTTCTTTAGTATTTCACCATCCATGTATTTAAAAAAAATCTGAAATTAGAAAGCATAGCATGGGCATATCAACCAGGGGTGTGAATTATACGTCGACTGTGAGCAGCCGCATCCAATAGCTTGGTTGACCAGTCGACCAACCGGGAGGCCTGGTCGGAGACCTGGCCACAGTGCTGTTGATCCCTGGGGCAGGTACTCAGGGTAGGTAGCAAGATTCCTCGCACAATGTTCTTTATGTAGTCCTTGGGATAGTTTCCTATCTAAAACCACCGCTAGATCTTTATCAGAATTTTGTAATGCTTTTTCACATAATTTGTAGGCTTTGTGTGGTCTATTTTCTCCTAATCCACATTCCATAACCTGACATGTATTCACATTAAATTCCAAGTGGTGCTCCTTTCTTATTTTGACCAGGTCTCCTTGAAAGGCATGACAGTAGTTTATCTTTTCTGGTGTCTTTGCATCATCATCAGCCATGTTCATATAATTCTGTACTCATTCTAGTAGGTTTTTAGATAATTAACATTACCAGTGCAAGAATTGAACCTTGTGGTACTCCACTTGTGACATTTTTGTGTGCAGTTTGCTACAGGGAGCTACTGAGGTCCATCCAAAAAGAAAAGCTTATTTACTTTCAATGCCGGCTTTTTTTCTTTGTCTATCTGCAAGAATGATTAGTTGACTTGTTAATAGTAGATTGAGTAGATATATACTATTGTATATAGACTATTTGACCCAGCCAGGATTCAAACCAGAGTCATCCAGGATCACCCCTAAACGTACATAGTACCGTGACCACCGCACCAATGATGTCTAGACGATCATTGGTGCGGTGGTCACAGTACTGTGTACGTTTAGGGGCGATCCTGGATGGCATGGGTTGGAATCCTAGCCGGGTCAAATAGCTTTTAGTGAACTGTGGCTTGCACGTTCATGCAGCTTTCTCTCTCACTATTGTATTGACTATTTTTGCCATTGCAGTCCATGTTGGCCACCTATGCTGAGAAACCTGCCGAGTGTTGGAGAAACAAGGTGGCTGCCATCTACCTGGTGACGACACTTTCTGCAAAGGGACACACGGCACGTCATGGTGCTACAAAAATTAATGAATTGGTCAACATAACTGAATTTTTCCAAGGTCAAATTCTTCCAGAACTTAAGAATCAAGATGGTAAGTTAAGAAAAAAAACTTCATGTGCTATGTCAAAATCACATGCAGATGGTGAGAGATTATTAAGAGTAATTAGGAGAGTAAGGATTAGAAAAGACTCGCTGGGGGAATGAAGTGCTTATAACTATAGCAATATTGGAAGGGATGGCCACAGATGTCTTGAGATTTAGGGTTTTATTTTTTATAGAGAAAAGATGCAGGTTTGGCATGAACTTAAGCATACATGTGTTGGTAAAAACATAATTGTCAAAACTAACCTAGTCAAAACAAGCTACTCTTGTTTTTCCTGATCGCACTTATGTGTCGCTTACCTCCGGAGACTAGCATCTTTACAGCGGAGCTTTATGCTATTCTCTATGCTCCAGAGTCACACACACAAGAGTCTGTTCTTTGAATCCTGCTTTCTCGCTGTCAATCCTTCTTTGTGGTTGTAGTTGACTCTCGCAGCGCCCTCATGGCTCTAGGGTCCTTTAATCCTGTCCATCCGGTGGTCATCGAGATTCAACATTGGCTGTTCTGACTAGATTCCTGGTTTTCAGTGTTCCTTTGGTGTTTGTTGCGTGCTATGTTTGGTCGTGGGTGCATTATTTCTTGTCCGGTTGTGACCATTTGCTTTACCTCTGCATTACTAGGAATGCGCAGTGCAACAGTCTGTTTGTGGAACGGGTGTCCCTGATTTCTTGTTCCAGGGACCTTTTTATCTTGGGTCATCTGTAGTGGTATGAAGTTTAGCCAACTTGCAGCCTACACTCAGGCCCATAGCATCCATAAGTTTGTGGCTCTGCCCAGATTGTTTTCAAACATTCCCTTGGCAGCTTTTTGGACTTTTTGGTCTGCGGGCCAACAGTGCTAGCAGCTGTTCTTCGTGAACGTGCCTAGTCCGTGCAGGGTTTGTATGTCTTTAAGACAGGTTACTTGTTGTCGTTTCCCTCTACTTAAGGGTTCCTGTCTGCTGTTCTTGTCCTTTTGGTGAATTTCCATAGCCATCATTCTCCATGGTGACACAGCACCAGCGAGCCTCGAAAGGAGCGCTCCCAGAAAACTATCGTAGCATGTAATGAAACGCCTCTCTTTGGTGTGAAATGCCTGGCCTCCTTCCACTATTCCCCCAACCCGACGCCTTTAAGGAATAAATGGGTTATATTTATACCGTATCATTGTTCTAACATGAATAAAGGTCACTTTGGCCATATTTTCAATTAACTGTTAAAATAAATCTTGGGTGCCAAATATTTGTAACACGAGTAAATGTTGTTTGTTTGTGCTGTATATGGCAGCCCTCAAGAAGTGGTTTATTCTTGGCTGTGTGAATCATTAGGGTACTATTGTGAATATTTTATTAGTGTGGTGATGTGTTCATGATGGTTAATTAATGTCATTTGTCTATGTTTAGCCTTTTACTGCACTTCTCAACTCTTCCTACTTATTAATGAAAATTAGGTAATAAGTAGTTACACAATTTCTTGTGTGTTAATTGGCCTTTTTATTTCCAGTTAATAGCCTGCCAATACTGAAGGCTGAAGCAATCAAGTATGTTATCAGCTTCCGGAGTGCACTACCCTTTGATGCAGTGAAGATCTGTGTGCCAGACCTTACTCTGCTATTAACTGCCCAGTCACCGGTAGTCCATACATATGCTGCTGCTGCAATTGATAAAATCTTTATACTTAGAGTAAATAATCAACTTGTCGTACAGAAGAATGATGTCTCTCCCATTGCAGGGTCATTATATGTTAACCTCCTCGGGGCTATGGCAATGCAAGGATCTGAACAAAATGAGTATGTAATGAAAACAATGATGAGGGTCACAAGCCTTATTGAAGAAGATTTGATGCAACATGCCAGTCTCATTGTGCCTCAACTTGTCATTAAACTACAACATGTTGCCAAAAACCCAGCAAAACCGCATTATGTTCATTATTTGTTTGAAACGCTCTCGTTGGTTATTAAAGCAATTTGTAACACTGTGGATGGTGCAGTCTGTGAATTTGATAGAAATCTCTTTCCAATCTTTCAAGAGATCTTACAAAATGAGGTTGATAGTCTCATTCCCTATGTTTTTCAAATTATATCCCTTCTCTTGGAAAGGCAAAATTCAGAAGTTCCTGAAGCATACCTTTCATTGTTGCCTTTCCTAGTTATGCCTGTATTGTGGGAGCGGCCTGGGTATGTGGCGCCCATGGTGAGACTACTGCAGGCTTACATTGAAAAGGCTCATGTCAAGGTTGTCCAGTTGGGAAAGTTAGAAGCAGTTCTTGGAGTGTTCAACAAACTAAATGCTTCTAAAACCAATGATCATGAAGGTTTCTATCTTCTACAGTGTATGCTTCTCCACATGCCTAAAGAAGTCTTGGAAAATTATTGGAATCAGATCTTTACTATTATGTTCAGACGCTTAACATCGAGTAAAACTACTAAATATGTTAAATGCCTCCTTGTGTTCTTTAGTTTATTCACCTGTCAACATTCGGCAGCTCGCTTGATCCAGATAATTGACTCTCTTCAACCTAGCATGTTCAGTATGGTTATCGAACGCCTGATATTGCCCGACGTTCAGAAAGTGAATGGTGATGTGGAAAAAAAGATCTGTGCTGTAGGACTAAGCAATTTGATAACAGACCCGGTAATGTATACTGGGAGTTATAATATCCATTGGGGTGCATTATTAGAAGCTTTAGTGAAACTTTTTGAATGTCCTGAAGACAGTTCATTGCCTGCAGGGGAGCACTTTATTGATGTAGAAGATATCCCAGCCTTCCAAGGTTCCTCTGCGCGGTTGATGCACGCGATGCGAAGTGATTCTGATCCCCTTAAAGGTCAAGTTGACAATCCACAGATATACTTGGCTCAGCGTCTGGCTCAGCTGTCTCAGGCTCACCCTGGAACACTGCAAGCTCAGTTGGCACAGATGAACCAAACTGCACAGGCACACATTCTGAAATACCTGCAGCTAGCAGGAGTCAGTCTTGCATGAGCAGAGTGTTCATCGTGTACAGCCGGGTGATAAGTGTGTCATTTTCTAGCAGTTCTCATATCGGCTAGTTCCTTGAGAGCATGCAAGGATATAGAGAACATTTATTTTTTCATATTTATGGTGATAATAGTATAACTAATTTTCATTTAGTCAAACACTTTGTCCAGATACATTGTCATTTTGAGTAATTGCCTCTGTACGAGTGATCTAAATAGTAAGTTGTTATACTTTTAGGTAAATAATATAAATTAGTTAAGTTCTTCCTCTACATCTATGTCACTGTCATGAGTATTTTCTGATTTGGAAAAATTATTTAAAACTAAATTGAAAATAATAGTCATAAGTAATGCATATATTTTTTTTTTTTTTTTTTTTTTTTTTTTTTTTTTTTACTAGTTTTGCATGAACAGTATATTTCCCACTGTGTGGGTGCTGGTTAATGATTGTGAATTTATCTTTAGTGCATTAAATTGAATAACATTTTTATTTTATCGTATACCTGATAAGTTTTTTGTATCCTTTTTTTTTTTCATGACGGTGAACTTGTAAACACTCCAGGTCTGAAACAGGCTAATTCAGATAGGAATATGTGGAATTAGTTTATCCTATTTGGTGCTTTGTTCCAAGTAGCAAATTATGATGGAAAACATCTCTGATGTCCCTTCTCTCCCCCCCCCTTCCCCTCTTCACTTGTTATAAATTTTATATTACTGAATATTTTTTAGTCCAGTAAGATGACTTCAGTAAGTCAGAAGTAAGATGGCAAGATGACTTCAGTAATTGATAAAATTTGTGGTTTTTTGCCATTGTGCCCAACCCTGTAATATGTGATGCCAATATGCCTTCAAAAACACCAGTTAAACATGCTTAAATGGAGTTTGCTAGATACCTTTCTATTGTTCAGCAAATCCCATTTCCTGGTTAGCAGCTTAAATTGTTTTTGTATAAGTTTTCCAGCTATGTAAAAGGCAGAATAAAACTTTGATCAATTTCTATATTCTATTTTATATTTACCCTAGTATTTCAAATGGTGCATATTTTCCCATTGACGAGCATTTTGTGGTGGAACTTGGTTAATAACTTGAGTATACATTACTTTCCATACCACGGGTACTGTGGGACAGTAGAGTATGGCTAATGAATGTTTATAGACCTACGTTTATGAAAGCCCTCTGTCTGGTAAGAGTCACACGAAATGTGCTTCCCTTACTTGGTTAGTGGACAATTATGAAATTCATAGCAATGCATTATTATGTGTGTGGCTAGGTTACTATGACAAAATGTGGAATATAATCATCCTGCAACCTTTTATATTGTTTTCTAATGGTGCTAATCCTAGAAAAAAAATTTCATTGGGTTCCCTTCTTTTTGCCACATTAGGGGGATGTAAATTGCACGTGCAAAATGCAATCTCGCACTTGACATATCAGAGCCTACCATTTTTTACATATTTACACATGATGTATGTTATGTGTAAGCTAGGCTTTGAAAATGTAAGCAGCTTACGAAACGCATTCAGGCGTCAGACCAAAAATAAAAATGTAAAGAATGAATTTTGGAGCGTTAATTTTTCAATTACATCTCACTTTATTTTAAAATTTCATTACACAAAAAGGGTTACATGCAGGGTACAAGGCTACTTGTCATGGGTTGTAGAGTTCCTCCAGCTTCTCGGATGGTGTGCAGGAACCATGGATGCAGTGAGCATTTCCTCGCTTGATCGCCACACTAAGGCGCTGAAAGAGAAAACTGGCGGCTCTAGGGTCTCTAGTTGTTTTAATTAGCTTGGAACCCAGCTCCTTAAAAAAGCTAGCAGCATTTTTATCCCAGTCACCAAGTGTGTCTGAGGTAATGGAGACATAATTGTTGTGGTGATCAAGATCTCTGTATTTGTGACTTGGCTGGTTCCCAGTGATAGGCAGCAGCACTGAAGGCAACATAAGTGTTGGCTAAAGTTGAAACGCAAGTGTAGTCCCACACCAACTGTCTACCATTCTTCCAGGGGGTTCACCGTGATCCCGTCTGGGCGACCAATAGGCTCATCAGAGTTACGGGGCTCTCTCCCTGCTGGACAACCGACTGTGGTAAGGCTTCTCTTAATAATGTCATTAACCTCGCTGTGTCTTGCATGCCATCATCCTGTCCTTTGACGGAGAAGACCATGCCGTCCATACCTGTCGGCCGCTGCCTCTCCGCAAATACACCTGTATTCAGTATGGATTGTGGCAGCAATTCGGAGGGCCTACAGTGTGAGATGCTTGCCGGTTGCTAAGAGAAAGTCACCTGCATGGGGAGCTGCTACAGCTTTTAAGTTGGGCAGTGTCATGTGGTGATGTTACAGCTTCTAGGCATGTCACAGCTGCTTGATCAACAATGGGATGATCCCAGCTGGATTGCTTGTGAGCTTCAGGTGGTGGTGGTTGGAGTGCTGGTCCTGCGAGAGAGACCCATTTGGTGGTGCAGACCGTAAAGCTGGGATCATGTACCCCTGCCTGTTGAACTAGGTACTCAGGTAGGACACACACAGAGATCACACTAACGTGATGCATCAAATCCTCGTCACGGCCCTTGTGGATTTGTTTATTTGTTTACTCAGGTAGGCTTTCCTTCACCAGGTTGTCAGATGCCATTGAAGAGGTCAGGAATGCTGGTACAGTAATTTGTGTTGCTGTGCGAACGCCGAGGCCCCCCCCCCCCCGAGTCTGGCAGGAAGGGAGGCTTGTTTCCACTGAGTTGCTGAGGGAAAGGTTGAGGGCTTTTTCTAGCATTGATTTCAGCAGGCTGTTGTACTCTTCTAATTTAAAATTATTGAAAGATAGCAAACATCTAAAAGTAGGTCAGCATCTGGTGATGAGGTAAAGTGCATCTTGAGGTTATCTTGGGACGATTTCGGGGCTTAGCATCCCCGCGGCCCGGTCCTCGACCAGGCCTCCTTTTTGTTACACTCCCCAGGAAGCAGCCCATAGCAGCTGTCTAGCTCACAGGTACCTATTTACTGCTAGGTAACAGAGCCATCAGGCTCTGGTAACAGAGCCTGATGGCTCTGTTAAGAGCCTGATGTTAAGCCTCTGTTAAGAGCCTGATGGCTGTTACCTGTCCCAGGTAACAGAGCCGTCTCCGCTTCCACTGGGGATCGAACCCGGAACCTCAGGACTACGAATCCGAAGCGCTGTCCACCCAGCTGTCGGGCGCTCTATTATGAGCGTCAATGTCTTGAATCCGTTCATTCATCCTTTTCGGGTCTGATTTTCTTACTGAGGACCTCGTCGATGGCGTTCCCTCCAAGAGGAGCTCCTAGGAGTGTGCTGTCCTCAGGGTTGGTTATATGAATATCAGGCAAAACAACCTTTATTCGATCTATTATATGCTGGTTGGCAGAGGTTATTTCGCACTTGGAAGAGTTCAGGGTGAAGCCTAGACTTGCTCCTTGCTCTTGAATTATTCTTATGTCATCCAGGAGGGAGTATGGGGAGCCAGCTAGAATACCATCGTCCAAAAACGAAATGTTGAGCTCACTGGACAGGTTATCGGGGTGACTTCCTTGATAACTATGCAGAAAAGAAAAGAAGCAGGTAGGGGCGGGCACCCAGTTGGACACCTTGTGATTCAATTTTCATGTTCCCCAAACAACAGTTAGATTCTTGCTGTAACGTGAGTTTGCAAATGGGTAAAGAGAAAGAAAAAAGCGATGAACCGCACTCACTCACTGACTGTTGTGAGGCTTGTAATATTACTTGTGACACCTCTTTGTGTCACAAGTGACACAAAGATTATTGATGTGTGTAATTGTGTGGGTGATTAGATATGTATGTGTATGTATATGTGTATACGTATATATATGTACATGTATGTATGAGGGTGTGTACATGTGTATACAACATTGATAATTTTGTAACTAGCGTCAAACATTGTTATTTGCTTAGCTAAACGAACTAGAGGGTTCAGTTCCTGAACCGATTATGTGCCTCTGTAATCCTTTACACCACCGCCCACGGGATGGGTATGGGGTGCATAATAAAGAAAGAAATTGAACCAACCCTACCTAACCTAACCTATCTTTATAGGTTAGGTTAGGTTAGGTTAGGTAGCCGAAAAAGTTAGGTTAGGTTAGGTAGGTTAGGTAGTCGAAAAAACATTAATTCATGAAAACTTGGCTTATTAGTCAAATCGGGCCTTGCATAGTAGGCTGAGAAGTGCGTTCTGGCTACTAGGTACGACATATATATATATATATATATATATATATATATATATATATATATATATATATATATATATATATATATATATACATATATACATATATACATATACATATATATATAGATAGGGACCGTTGCAGAAATGTCAACATTTCTACTGTTCCAGTACTCTCACACTAAACCTATTACTGCATTTAAATACCACTGAATATTAATAACACTAATATAATGAGAGCAACGGGAAGAACGAGTCTATTGAGAATTTATTTTGAAATGAAAGATGTTGATGTTTTCGGGTGAGAGAGTGAGAGAAAGTGAGCGAGAGAGTGTAGAGAGTCCCGGGCTGGCAGACGCCGCACCATGGCCGCCACGCTCCGCCAGACTCCTCTCACCTGCAGTGGTCACACCAGACCCGTTGTCCACCTCGCCTTCTCCAGGCTCTGTAATGATGGCTACTTCCTCATCTCGGCCAGTAAAGGTGAGGCGAGGCTGAGGCTGCTGCTGGCTCCGTTTCTACCGCCTGACATGTCACACCCGCTACAACTTTCACTTGGGTCATACTGGTGGTGTTGGCGAGTCTACTATGGCCCGTCCTGGTCCAGGGCTCTGCCTCTCCGCTCTTATACCTTATAATATAAGGTTATATCTCTTATACCTGCTGCCTTCACACCTCCCAACATTCTGACGCTGTGTCCCTCTTACTCTTGAGGTTATGACTCTAGGTAGCTTCCACGGGTGAGGGCTTCTTGTCAAGGCAGATACTGTACAGGTGTTTCAACAAAGCTAACTTTCTAATTGTTAAATTTATATATTTCATTGGATTAGGTTATATTAGCAAAGGTTTGGTTAGGCCGGGTTACATATAACCCTGCCGAGACTCAATAGTTAGATCTGACATGGACATTTCTTCAATCTAATTTTGTAATTGTTAAATTTGTGTATATTGTAATTGTAGAGTTGGGTTGGGTTAAATTCAGAAAGATTACATAAGATTAGGTAGGCTTAAAATTGTATTGGTGAACCGTCTTGAGTAGGAAGTTCCCATGAGAGGCGGAGATGGTGTTAAGGCGAGGGTTCAATGATCTTGGCCGGTAGGACATTTTTACGAGGCTGCTGAGGCTGTGATCAGTAAGGGCCAGGTTCTGGCGCTGGTCTTTGGTAGGTCTGAACTCCTTAGTTAATGTCCCGGTCTAATATAACATACATTAGCCCGATAAGCTCCAGGGAGCCTCCAGGGCTCACCCAGAAAATGGCGTTTCATTACGTTTAACGCTGTTTTTTTTTTATTACGAACACATTTGGGTACATCTACATTTGTGCAGCTGCCGTAGACTGTATGAAAGAAAGTACAGTGTCAAGAACTAGGTACATAATGTTAAAAATTCCCATCACACATGATGGTTAGTCATACAGTGGTATGTGATCAGTAGCCTGCACTGGCAAACTTTAGGTGCATTAATAGGATGTCCTCAAGAACACAAGTTAATAGTGATTGCAAAGCTCGAGGTACCTCATGCCAGGAGGTCTTGAGGGGTCATAATAACTAGGCATTCATTAATGTGAGAGTTAATGACCCAGTTCTTGCTGAGAGTTTGCACCTAGACTCAAGGTAAACTCAATTACATCCACATAGCTATTATGTCTTTATTTGGAGCAATCATGTAAAACCCAGACAATAGTTGTTTAAATTGTCATATGACGATAACTGCATTACCCTGTGAATAAACATGACTGTATTACCATGTGAATAAACATAACTGCATTACCCTGTGAATAAATATAACTGCATTACCCTGTGAATAAATATAACTGCATTACCCTGTGAATAAATATAACTGCATTACCCTGTGAAAAAACATGATGATGGTAACTGCTGTCTAAGGAAAGGGCTTCTTGGTTGTTCTTGTCAGTTAAATAGCATTTATTTTAATATCAACTATTTATTGATACTGTATAGTACTTATTCCCCCCAAAATTATTAATGAAGTTTGCAGTAATTAGGTAAAGTAAAGGGTTATGAATTTTGAGAGATGGGTTATCATTACACATAAATAATAATAACATTATAGTATAGCAGTTGGTATTGGTAGATTCTCAAGTTTTTCCCCCCTCATAAATGTTTATTACTTTACATAAATTTGTGTTTGTCATACAGATGGGAAGCCGATGCTACGTCAAGGCAACACTGGTGACTGGATTGGAACATTCGAGGGTCATAAGGGAGCGGTGTGGGGAGTAGCTCTTAATGGGGATGCTTCACGGGCTGCCACAGCAGCTGCCGATTTTACAGCCAAGGTTTGATACAGTATAATCAATATTATATCACTGTGTACACTGTTTTATTATAAGATTGCAGGCGATGAGTCACAATAATGTGGCTGAAGTATGTTGACCAGACCACACACTAGAAGTTGAAGGAACGATGACGTTTCGGTCCGACCTGGACCATTCTCAAGTCGAAATGTTGTCGTTCCTTCAACTTCTAGTGTGTGGTCTGGTCAACATATAAGATTTTTTTTATTTTTTAAATACTGTACACTGATCTCTTAAATCCAGATCATATTTTTCTGGCCCAATCTTGATTTCCAAATACTTGCCCCTTTTCTTGGTTACTATATTACCTACTTTTTAAAGTTTTTCTTATAGTAAATAATGGAATAAAAGTTTCAGCATATTCAGATGTACAAATAATATATAAATACCAGTAATGGTTTTTTGTGTACAGGTATTTAAATAGTAATTATACATAATAACTAAACATTAATGTGTTCACTTACCTTTGTGTATCAGAGGCTACTCTTGTTAACCCAGAAGCGGGAAAATGCAGTTAGTTAAAAGTTATGTCATTTTTTAAGCTTCTAATCACTCGGAACTGGGCTTGAAGGCCTTATCTTGAGATGATTTCGGGCTTTTAGTGTCCCTGCGGCCCGGTCCTTGACCAGGCCTCCACCCCCAGGAAGCAGCCTGTGACAGCTGACTAACACCCAGGTACCTATTTACTGCTAGGTAACAGGGGGGCATAGGGTGAAAGAAACTCTGCCCATTATTTCTAGCCGGTGCCCGGGATCGAACCCGGGACCACAGGATCACAATATGACTATGGTTAATTATATTCTTTCAGCTAGAGACTGTAAGTGCATCACCAACACTCCACTACCATACTGCCATTAATCATTGTTAAACACCATTCAAATCTTCATGCTTAGAGTATTCAATTGTTACTTTTCATAGCAATGCTATACTTGTCTGCCAGCCACTTTCCTTGCCAGCTATGGTCACATATTTCTAATAACTCTGCCATATTATCCATTATATCTGTGAACTATTGTGTGATGTACCCGTACTACTTTTGCTATACTAAAGGACTTTGTTGATCACTGTTTTAAAGGAGTCTGTTACATGATCTAGATTTTAGTGTTCAGTATATAGATATTAAAAAAAACTTAAGTATTCACTGTGAAACTAGTACATTAAATTAAGTAAAGATCTTGCTTCTTTCTCTATAGGTATGGGATGCTGTTTCTGGGGAAGAGTTGCACTCCTTCTCACATTCCCATATTGTCAAGACTGTTGCATACTCCCCTAATTCAATTGAACTCCTTACTGGCTCACATGAGAAGCTTCTCAAAATATTTGACTTGGAAAAACCAGAAGCGGGTAATTATTACTTGTGTTTATTAGGTATCTCCAAGAGGAATACCTCATTGTTTTATGCATTTATTTTCTTCCAAAGCAATTTAGTAGCATGTCTTTGCACTCTTTCTAGTTTACTTGTGTGTTTTGTAATAATTACGTAATATCTTTGTGGCAACTCCCGCCTGACAGTTCTGGCGAAGCTGGCCGCCTCTGGCGATTGCCCTGTCAACGCCTCATTTTGCCAGACTTCCTCGCCCTATTGTGGCTAAACTATAGCACCTACGATCAATAAAAGGTTGCCACATAGTCAGCAGACTATGCTACTTCTCTCCCTCCCTCCCTCACCAAGATTACTTCTCACACCATACACTGTGCTGTTTTTTTTTTTGAGAGATATATATATTTTGAGAGATATTATGATATATATATTGTTACATTCTTGTACAGCCACTAGTACGCGTAGCGTTTCGGGCAAGTCCTTAATCCTATGGTCCCTGGAATACGATCCCCTGCCGCGAAGAATCGTTTTTTCATCCAAGTACACATTTTACTGTTGCGTTAAACAGAGGCTACAGTTAAGGAATTGCGCCCAGTAAATCCTCCCCGGCCAGGATACGAACCCATGACATAGCGCTCGCGGAACGCCAGGTGAGTGTCTTACCACTACACCACGGAGACTGCTTACTAAATTTAATTATATACACACATTATATATAAGTATGTGTGTGTTTTGTCCACCATAACGAACCACTAAGTTGTATAGTGAGTTCAGACAATAACAGAGGTCGCCACACAGCTGATGCTACCTCCCTCCCTCACCAACATTCCTCCTCCCACCATACTCTTTGTGCTGTTATTACACTATACAATCACACGTTATATTTAAGTACGCATCTACATGTTTTGTTTATCATAACTGTACAACTAAGCTGGTATGGTGTCCAAACAGCATAGTGACAAGTGACAAACACAGCATGACAAGTCACAACAGCAGACTACGCACCTCCGTCACTTAAATGGCTCCACCCAACATATTCCTTTTGCTGTTATTACACCATATACAAGCTATATATAAGTATCTACATTTGTGCTCACCATAGTGAACCACTGAGCTGGTATGGTGAGTGCAGGCAATAACAGGTGGCTACACACAGTCAGCAGACGATGCTACCTCCCTCCCTCATCGTTACTCCTCCCACCATACTACGCACAGTGCTAGTTATCACAACAGTCCTGTTATCATCAGAATCCTGGTAATTTTTATCACAGTCGGGGGTCTTCTGTAATACTATCATGGCTTAATAATACCGGTTACATATATATTTTGACTTTTTAGGCGATGCTGTGGTCACAAGCTGAATAGCAGTGCTGTGAGCTCATGGTGCGTGCGCCAGCCCTGGTTGCTCACTCAGTACCGAAGCTCTCACACCCAGGAATGTTACCCACGATTTAAAAAAAAAAATTGGCTTCTGTTTACCTAGAGCCCTGAGGAAGCTGATGTGAACCCCGTGTAGCCACGGGACATTTAAATCATGCGCGGCACCCTCGGTTGTATATACTGTATGTGATGTGCACGGTTCGGCAACATTTACTCAAATTGTGTATATATAGTCTCACTTTAGCCTGTCTTTTGATACTCAAATTACCTTGAGACCTGTACTACTTATACTCTTGGAACTCATTATGTTTCCTACATTTATTTATCTCTGCCAATCTTTGATTGCTCTGCTAGCCCTTACTTGCTCTGCCAGCCCTTGCTCGCTCCATTAACTTCTGTTCCCTCGGCCAACCTTCACTTGCTCCACCCTGTGCCAACCGGTGCTTTTTACATAACACTAATAATTACTGCTCCATTTATACACAGTACTGATATACCTGTCAAAGGATACCTTTCTCCATCTCCCTTCATTTGATGTAAATATATGTACAACACAGTAATAATTCTTTCATTTACATAAGTGCTTCTTACATGAAATATACAGTAATTCATGATTTTTTATAATGGAATTTATTGATTTTTCAGAACCTCAGGTTTTTGCTGGTCATACTGGAGGCCTGAAACATGTTCTTTTCATGAACGATGGGAAACAGATGGTGAGCTGTGCCGAAGACAAGACCATTCGCGTCTGGGATAAAGCATCTCGCCAGGTATATACCAAGTGTAGATTTGTATTTGTCATGTAATGGTTGTCTCTTGGAAGTGCACAATAGTATTGGCTGTACTCCTCTGGTTGAAGCTCTCATTATTGAATCATGTTCAAGCTGTCTCTGAACATTATACAACTTGTGTATCCATAACTTACATCAGTGTGATACTACCTTACCTTACCTTGACCTTGAGGTGCTTCCGGGACTTAGTGTCCCCGCGGCCCGGTCGTCGACCAGGCCTCCTGGTTGCTGGACTGATCAACCAGGCTGTTAGACGCGGCTGCTCGCAGCCTGACGTATGAGTCACAGCCTGGTTGATCAGGTATCCTTTGGAGGTGCTTATCCAGTTCTCTCTTGAACACTGTGAGGGGTCGGCCAGTTATGCCCCTTATGTGTAGTGGAAGCGTGTTGAACAGTCTCGGGCCTCTGATGTTGATAGAGTTCTCTCTCAGAGTACCTGTTGCACCTCTGCTTTTCAACGGGGGTATTCTGCACATCCTGCCATGTCTTCTGTTCTCATGTGATGTTATTTATGTGTGCAGGTTTGGGAACAACCCCTCAATTATTTTCCACGTGTAAATTATTATGTATCTCTCCCGCCTGCGCTCAAGGGAGTACAGACCCCTGGGAAAAGGGGCAATATGATTATTTTTTTATGCATATTGAAGCACACATTTCCTCTTCTGAGACCTGTGGGATGGCCAACCAGGCCCCCCTTAGTTGGATCGTGCAAGAAGATCACCCTCCATAGCTCTGGCCATGGTGGGCCCAGACCAGTCTTTGTCTCCAACCATCTCAATTTCTCTGCCATTTCTTTGCCAGGGTTAAGCCCTAAGCCCCCAGTGGTGACTACCTTGTTGCCTGAGGTGGCTCGTCTCTCATTGTGACAACTGCACCTTTTGCATCTCCTTTGTGGGGGTTCACGGTGCTTTCACCACCTTTCTGATTCCTTTTACTTTTTGCTATGTTCCAGGAGTTGTTTGGCCCTATTAAGTATTTTCAGCTTTCATGATAACCATTTGCATCCTGATTTATGCATCCATAAACACCTCATTGACTGTAGATTGCCAAATTATTTTTAACCCCACCTGTACTGGCACACGTGTACTTGTGGCTCCTCAGGAGGCAGCTGCCCGCCTTGCCACTGTGTCCTGCACTCGTGAGACCCCTAGTTCTGCTCTCCAAAAATGCCCTGTTAAATGCCTCCACTGGCACAGTCACTCCTACACAATGCTATGACTGGAGATACAGACTTTAAAGATTGCTATGAGGATATTAAATATATCCTCGAGGCTCAAGGAGTTTCTGTCCTCTAGATTGACACTTTTATTCTACCTCCTCGTGGTCATTGTTGTTAACCCCAAGTCATTAAGATTACTTTTGATGAAACATCCGTAGGAGCCACGTTGAGGGTTCGAACCTACGCTCTGAACAACTAGGCCATGACATGGTCAAAAGGATTGCAACCTGGGGTACTACTGCACACTCTAGGATTCCTGAGGCTTCCACTGAAGCTGAACCAGAGTTTCGGCTATTTCAAACTAAATATTTTTAATCGTATTTGGGAAATGTCGTCCATTGCTGAAAACTGGTACAAGGCGGTTGTTCCTCCTATTAGGAAACCCGGGGCTCAAGAGACCTATCCTAATGATTTTCTCTCCATTGCGTGTTGAGTTGCATCTGCAACTGTTTTGAACATTTGGTCAATGTCTGTCTTATGTGGTAGTGTAATTAGAACACTATTGCTACTACCTCTTATCCTCTCAATTTGGCTTTTGCAAGTCACAGCACTGATGCGACCTGGAGTTTTAGTGGACCCGGAGATCTACATTCGTATCAAGGAATGTAGATCTCGAGGAACTATTGCAAAGACCTCGGTGGCTGTAGTTTTTTTTTTTTTAACAACCTAGAAAATGCTTGACGCCACATCGTGGAGCCGCCACAATTTGCTTGCTCTCCCGCTGCAGTTTGCCTAGATGATCAGTAAACCAATGGTCGAGTTATTCAAGTTTTCTGTTTGTCTATTTATTGTTAATCTCTCATTTATAAAGACAGAACTTTGAAAATTATAATTTGTTATAATATTTTAAGAATTGTGTATACATTGTGGATACAGTCCCCGTGGCGCAGTGGTAAGCCACTCGCCTGGCATTTCACAAGCGCTTTGGCCTGGAGTTCATATCCTGGCCAGGGAGGATTTATTGGGTGCCAATCCTTAATTGTGTAGCCTCTTTTCACCCAGCAGTGAATAGATATCTGGTTGTTAAACGATTTGGCGGGTCGTATTCTAGGGAAAATTAGGATTAAGGACTTGCCCAAAATGGCTATGCATGCTAGTGGCTGTTCAAGAATGTAGCAACTCTTGTATATATAAATCAAATATAGTAGTGACAGAGCCAAGATAATTGCACACTTCAAGGGTTGATTATCATTGCTGCACACAGAATGCTAATATCTCTGGCTTTCTCCGTCATTCCCTCTTAACATACTTTGCAGTAAAGGGCCTAACCTTCAATTAACCTCTTAGTAGTTTCTGTAGTGCAGCATGGTAACTTCTCTTTATACAGCGAGTCATTTCTTGCATGCAATATTCTTCTTGTGACACTGTCTTTTGGGAATTGATGGGAATTGCATATGTTGATGATCTAATGTACAGTCTAGTGTGATTTGTAAAGTTGTTCATCAGACCAAAGATAGACTTGGAAGTGTTACATTCACTTGGGATAAGCAACATTGCACTTTGACTGTGTGGTAACTATTCAACCTGTGCTCAGGGATTATGTATCTTCTTGGTAATCACCACACCTAGTCTATTTTTGCATTTTATTAATACTGTAGTACCAAAGTGCACTATGTAATTGGTGCATTGGTGCTTTAATTTACTTCCTGACCTTGGTTAGGTTTAGGTTTGTGTGTATTGCATCGTCAAATATGTGAAATTCTGGCGTGCTTGAGTGTCCCAAGAATGACATTAATAAGCCTAGATTAATACCCAGGTGGTTCAGACAGGGAGGAAGGACAATCATAATCACTAGGCCAAGTTCATAAATGCATTATCTGAACAGTAACAAAATGCTCTAGGTATACTTGATTCTTTAATGAAGTAACCAACGTGAGGAGAGGCTGTAATTATACATCAACTTACTTGCAGGAGACTCAGAAGCTGGAGGTGGCACATAACCCAACAAGTATGGAGCTGAGCGCTGATGGTGAAACCTTAACTGTAGCATATGGTTCTAAGGTTGCGTTCCTCAACCCACACACGTATGTTGTTTACTTCCTTTAAGATTATTGTTATATGATGAGGACATTATAGAATATCATTTGTGTGCTTGTATTTATACTGTTTATCATTCACTAGAAATAATGGAAAACTCTTCCCGTTGCTGATTGACATATCTACAAAAATTTTTTTTACGGTTTTCTGTGGGGAGCCCTGTTGGCTCCCTGAAGTTATCTGAACTGATATGTGCTATAATAGTTTGGGGTCATCAGTCACACGAGTCCTTATGCCTACTGGAGAGCATGAGCCAGAACCTGGTTCCCTCAGAGAGGCGCAGGGAGTAATGGCCTATGAGCACTTTACATTTAAAGTGTCATAATTGCCAGCGACCAGAGAAGGACTCAGAAAAGTAGACGAGTCAAAATGGACCACTGTCTGGTTACACTAGGTAATCTACATCCAAAAATATCAAAATATCTCCCTTAGAGAGAAGACAGACAAGCAACACGTCATGCAACTAGGACTCCCACTTGTTAGTACTACCCCCATCTTCCCCCTTCCCCAGTGGGGGAGTCAACAGCCCAGCACACCAGTTCTTGAACAGATGTGCTGGGTACAACTCACCACAACTCACCACAACTGTACAACTAAGCGGACATAGTTAGTTCAGGCACTAAGAGACGTCGCTACACACACAGCTGGCGGCTGCCTCCCTCACTCATTCAAGGTCACATGCACTAAAATCCCCCCCCCCCCCCCCTCCCAACAATACTGTTTGTGGTGTTATTTCATTATATACATACAGACGTTATGTAGAAGTATCTATATGTTTTGTTCACCACAACTGTACAACTAAGCTGATATAGTTAGTTCAGGCACTAAGAGTCGTCGCTACACACAGTCAGCTGGCGGCTGCCTCCCTCACTCATTCCAAGGTCACATGCACTAAATTTCTCCCCCAACAATACTGTTTGTAGTGTTATTACCCTATATATACACACACATTATATATAAGTATCCACATGTTGTATGCATCGTAACTGTACACCTAAGCTTGTAATTACCTACGTGTAGTTACAGGATGAGAGCTACGCTCGTGGTGTCCCGTCTTCCCAGCACTCTGTCATATAACTCTTTGAAACTACTGACGGTCTTGGCCTCCACCACCTTCTCACCTGATTTGTTCCAACCGTCTACCACTCTGTTTGCGAAAGTGAATTTTCATATTTCTTCGGCATCTGTGTTTAGCTAGTTTAAATCTATGACCTCTTGTCCTTATAGTTCCAGGTCTCGGGAAATCTTCCCTATCAATTTTATCAATTCCTGATACTACTTTGCACTACATGTCTGATTTTTCTAACGCATGTATATGATGATCAGGTGACTTCTTTGATGGTGTCGTACCTGCGGTCTTCATCTCAGCGACAGTAGGAGATCTTGGAGATCTTTCCGTCATTTTCTGTCGGTTTTCGTCGATTTTGGACCAGGTTGTTTTGTCCTTTCCTTGTTGGCATTTTCTGGATCGGCATCTAATGCCTAATGCTGTCGCTTCTTATTCTGTGGCATTGGAGGAGCTGCTGCAGCTTGCGATTGTGGCGAATGTTACCTTTCCTCCATTCCGCAAGCCCTCTTGTGCGTTTTTTCACCTCCGGCCTGGTCATGCGCTGCCTGAGCCTTCTTTTTTGGTCTTTGGACCGAGTTCCTTCCTTTCTTTCTTTCTCCTCGGTTTGTAGTGGTCCTTTCGGTCTGTGATTGCTTTTGGAAAGCCTTGTTTTTGTTGGCTTTGGCCTCTGGGGGTCAGGTTGGGGAACTTCATGCACTTCCCTGACACCAGGGGTTCCGTTTCTCTGGTCTTTGTGGTCGTTTTGTTCATTTGCAGCCCTCTCCTTTTCTGGCGAAGAATGAAATGGCAGGCTTCTGGAGGGGTCCATTGCTTGTGGACACTTGATTAGTTTGGCCGGGGTGCAGCACGTGTTGTGTCCGGTTGTGGTTTTACGGCGTTACCTGCAGGACATTGGTTCTGTGACAGTGGATGTGCTCTGGGTGGATCCGGTTTCCCTGGTTCCCTGTTCCAGGGCTGCTTCTCTCTCAGGTTGTCCGCAGTGTCATTAAGTCTAGCCAGCCTTTAGTTTATCCTTGTGCCCATGTTGTTAAAAAGTATGCTGCTCTCACGGCAGTCATTTGCAATATGTCTTTGGTTGACATTAGGGCGTGGGGGTTTTGGAGATCGAACGGGATCATGGCCACCAGATATCTTGTGAAAGTTCCATTTCCTTCACAGCCTTGTGTGGCCTTGGGCACACAAGCCGTCTGTTGAAGCCATCTATCTTTTCCTCATCTTAGAACCTGCGGTGCTGCTGTCTCCTGGGTAGGTCCCTGTTTTTCCTTATCTGTAGTTAGTTACTTCAGGAAGTCAAAGGGGCTCCCCCACAGAAAACCAGCGTTGAATGTAATGAAACGCCATTTTCTGGATGAGCCCCGGAGGCTTCCTGACACCCTCCCTCCCTCCGGTTGGCGGTTTTCATCGTTCAAGAACTGTAGTGGTGGGCTGCCGGCTAACTTGGGCCGGCTCCCCCTCCCCCCTCAAAGGGGGGAGGGGAAGTAGCACTAGCAAGTGGGAGTGCTAGTTACATGAAGTGTTGCTGGTTTGTCTTCTTTCTAGGGGAGATGTTTTGATCTTTTAGGACATATATTGCACAGGTTAATTGATCAGACAGTGGTCTGTTTTGATTCGCCTACCTTTCTGGGTCCTTCCCCGCTCAACGGCAATTATGACATACTTTGAATGTCAAGTGCTCATAGTCCATTGCTCCCTGAGCCTCTCTGAGGGTGCCAGGTTCTGGCTCGTGGTTCCCGGTAGGCAAAGGACTTGTGACTGATGACCCCAAACTAATAAAGCATATATCAGTTGGGATAACTTCAGGAAACCTCCGGAGCTCACCCAGAAAATGGCTTTTCATTACATTCAACACTGGTTTTTAGTGATAAATTAACATTGGTTTTGTAGTTTCATTAAGCCTATTAATTTCAACCAACATTATCATGATAAGCCTGCAGTAGGACTATCAAGTATTTTAACTAAATTTCTAAAAATATCTGGTTGAAATTTTGTATTGCTTCTACTGAATAATAATACTGAAGCCATTCAAAACTGTCATTATCTTCCTGTATTTTCTATTTTGAATGTTTTGATGTAACCAGTGATGTAAGATTTGTTAAAGCCTGTTGGCTGACAATCCTGAAGACTAAATAGCAGCTATTGGAGTGTTAATTAATGAGTCGGGTGACTTTTTGCCGATGCCCAGGATGAGTGTTTTGTAATCGGTTTAAATCTGTAATGTTTTGTTTTTAGAAAAAGACAAATGGCACTCCAGTTGAAAAAATTAGGGATACATACATTTAGAAGGAAAATTAAAAACAGTACACGTATGGTATGACAACCCATCCTCCGAATTGACAGTACGATTTAATACTAAGTGTAATAAGTACACTTTCTTACTATAATAAGCAGTGCATAATTGCACTTATGGGGCTGTTACATTGACCCAACTCCCTCCCCCGCTTTAATTCTTCTCGTTTTCTGTTAAGTCACTGAGAATTTTAGGATGACGTTTTCAATTTCGATTTGCAATACACAAGTTTTAAATATCAGGAATTTCTTTTTCTGGTTAATTAAACAATATAGACTTATACAAAATTTTAAAATATCCTGAGTTACTTTACAATTTATTGATATATTTTAGTTTTGTTTTATTAGTTTTATAAAACTGTAATATCAATATAGCTATAGGTTAAGTACTAATTGTAATTAAGAAGCAATACAATTATTATCTTCAAAAACTAAGACGGTTAGGTGAGGTTGTGGTTTTCTATTTAGTTTTTCAGGTAAACTCAAATATTCACAATATATCTGACAGTACGATTTAATACTAAGTGAAAATAAGTACAATTCCTAACTGCTATGAATAGTACATAATTGCACTTATTTGTCTTCTTACATTTACCACCCCATTTTTGGAGGACGGGCTGGGTATGAACAGGTATGATAGTGATTTCAGTGGAATGGATGGTACATTGGTTATTTAGGAGGATTTATTTATCAGTGGGTTTACTGTTAATGGATGAAAACAAGATGTATATCAGTCTATTGTTGTATGGATAAGGGAGCCACTTTTGGTTTATATTTCAGACTTGAACTTCAGCGTGAAGTGACTGTTCCTACAGCTGTGTACTCGGCCTCTCTTCATCCTGATCGTTCTGTCTTTATCTGCGGTGGAGAAGATTTCAAGATGTACAAATTTGACTACAACACTAACGTGGAGATAGAATCTTTCAAAGGTCATTTTGGTCCTGTCCACTGTGTTAGATTCAGTCCTGATGGTGAGCTTTATGCCTCTGGAAGTGAAGACGGCACACTTCGACTGTGGCAGACAACTGTAGGGAAGACGTATGGACTCTGGAAGTGTGTAGATGCTGCTAATGAGAATAATATACCAATTAAACCAGAGGCTACTGCTTAGTTTTATGAAATTTGTGATTTTTTGATTGCTGCTTAATGAAAATTAAAATTCAGTTTGTAAGTACATAGTTTCATTTTGAATGTGCTCTGAATAATATACTGTATATATTTTATAATGAATGCCCATTTTTCATTAATCAGCCTTCCTTCTTATCATGCTTGCTTAAAAATTTGAGTATTGGGGTGTTAAATTGTATAAATTAACAGAGTATTATTTTTTTATTGTATAAAATACAAATAGCAGTTGCTTACAGTAATGTGACCATCTTTGTGGTATTTTTTCAGCTACAGTCCTCTTGATAAAGAAGTTATTGTCATCATATTAATTCCATGTTTTTTTACATGCTGTGTATAGTTTGTTAAAAGTTGAGTACTGTATTATAATGGCAGCAATATGTATGTCTGGCTATTTCCCACCTCCACTTGAATGGAAATTAGATTATAGCTGTATTGTGGCCAAATATCAACACCTAGGTGGACATGTGCTTCAGCGATGAACCCAAATTCCCTTCAGTACAACATTGCAACATCCTATGGAGGAATTTCCTACCAAGTTGGCAGTAATTTGCCACTATACAGTAAGACTAAATATTTGTTGTACAATGGATCCACAAAATACTAAACTTGTTTTTAATACTTATTCTAGTATCTTATAGTAAAGTAGTAATTTCATTAATAATGTTTGCATATTTTGGGAATTGCAAAAGCTTTTGAGTAATTTTACAAACATTTAAAACCTAAATTTATTTTTGTGTACTTGGTGTGAAATTTTGTCAATTTTATTCATTTGAACAATTTAGATTTTGGGAGATCCAAGTTTAAGAAATAATATCGACAGAATTAATACAGAAACAATAAGATTGATCAAGTGATCGTGTGCGTCTTCTCATAATCGAACTCTCAGCATGATCAATTATAGTTTCATGTTTATTATTTTTGTTGTGAAATACTCACGATGTGTTGCTAACCATTCACAGGTATAAGTTTGTATTTGTGGTGCCTTAAAAAGTCTAATAGGTGAATATTTAATCAAACAATTATTATAATTTTTATATGTAAATGTTGCCCTAATGGTTTTTAGGTGTGTGTTGATAATGATGTCCAAGTGGATATCCTTAAACATTATGTAATGTATTGAGAAACCCCTCAGTACCTCAGGTGTTGGGTTAAGTATTTCAAATTATTTATTTGTATTGTTGAAACCTGGTAGATAAATTGGACCCTTAGCTTAGTGGAATCTCAAAAGATGTTAAACATTCCTCTTTTTTTTTTTTTTTTTTTCTTACCCAGTCTGTTGCCGATATCAGCCTGCTAGTCAACTGGTTGTAGTTTCAGATATGTTTTTATAAAAAAACAAAATCCTTTTTTACTTTTTATATCCTTATATTATGACGGTATTGAAAGTGAAGTACTGTACTGTACTTTAAAACTCCTTATGTAGGAAAGTTGGGTGTTGAGTGCATTGTTAAATAGAAAAGTTAGGTGTGGAGAGTACAAGGCATCTGAAGGAGTGAATAGATTTGATCGCAGTTGCCATAATTAGCTTACAAACCATTGGGCATTAAAAGAATTGAAGCAGTGAAGAGGGCCAATATATAAAATGTTGCTGATGAAATATCAAATTAACAAAAGGTGCCAAATCCAAAAGATTTTATAGTTACTCATTCAGTCAATACTTGCATGTAACTTAGCCATATATCACATTTGATGGTAATTTTTTGTTCTGCTTATTCTTCTCTTTAATACCAAACCATATATACTGTACCTCAAATGGTTGTGGATGACAGTACAAATTTGTGTAAGGAATCTTCCTTGGTGATGAGACTGGATCAACTGCCTCTGTAGCCACAGACTGATGTCATGAATGACAACACCAAATGGCTCGAGACACAAAATTCTACTTTTATAGTTATCAATCAACTCATGGGTGCTGCCTTGGGGGGGAGGGGGCTCTTGTTCACTGCCCTTTTACAATAGGGATGGCCACTGCTCCCTGCCTGCTGTGCCAGGATACTGGCAAAATACACTGGCTTGGCCATTTGTTTTTGCTATACCTGTACATGCACACCTGTATATTCCCACTTTCCTTGAGGAGCAAGGCAAAAGGTACGATCGGTAAGGTGTAGTAGAGGGGATGGTAGTAGGAATAAGAACTGCAGAAGGCCCATTGGCCCATGCAAGGCAGCTCCTATTATAACCACCGAATGATAAGGGGATAATAATAGGGATAAAAAGAGGATAGCAAGGCCTGGGCACTTTCTCAATGAGGGTGACAATAATAGCTCCCAGCTCCTTGTGCATGTGTGGCGGGAGTTGGTCTACAATAGGCTGAACAGGACTTGTGACCCAATAGAGGGTAGCCATCTCCGGATATAGCTTCAGGGAGCCACCAAAGGACTTCTCCCAGAAAAAGTTAAGGACCACACAACTTTCCATCTAGGAAATAATAACATACAAGGGTTATTAGACTCAGGTTGTATTAAAGGTATAAGCATGAATTATAAATAAGTATGTATAAACTGCATTATATATCCTTTAATATTCTGTATGTCTTAAAAAAAATTCATACAATTAACATGAAATATTGTACTGACATACTGCAATGCAAGTTATTTAATATTTTGTATTTATGCCATGGGATTGAGGATGGGATGTAAATGCATGGCACCTTTTGATAATTACTTGCATGTTGCTAAATTAAAGCACATGTTGAAAGGCCTTTTACTTGATAATGTACCATCACTAAGAGTCTGTGATGTAAGCAAAACATATTCTGTACCATCTTGTTAATTTTTGGTGTAGGAGACTGGTCTAACCTGTCTTAGGGCAGCATACTAACCATCTTTCATACTTTCTTGGTAATAAGCATTACAAATATTTTCCAACACGTAGTCTTCTGCTTTGTTGCCTTACCTGTCACTGTAAATACTCAACTCATTACTGACCTCAACTTTTGTGTTGTGAACGACGTGGCCTCTAATGAACAGTCATTAGAAGACTCATCACTCAGATATGTCGGTGTAGGCCTATAACAACCTACACACCAGGCTAATTTAAACTGATTCATTTAATCATTTAATTTAAAACATTATATTTTTAACATTATGGATGAGCACTAACAAAAATTTATACCAATAAAGGTCATACACTTGGTATATTAAAACAGTTACATTTGTTATTATGTGACTAAATGCTTTGCATATTGCATTATGCCTAAGAGTAAGTTGTGACTATCTTGAACCCTCCAAAATTAATGTTTTGAGTCAGCATGACAAAGGTGCTAGTGTACACTTGAGAGTGGAAGCTATGCTAGTAGTAGTGGTGGGCTGGGAGCCTCCAACAGTGGAGGCTTCAACTTCTCCAATCCAACATCAAATGCAACATGAGATGTCTGACTGTATGTTGACCTGTTGTGAAAAGATAATTTAAGGTTGAATGACCAACTGACTCAGAAATTATTCAAGTAAATAAATAACAGTATTAGCCTAATACTAAATTGTTTGATTTAAAGTACTGAGACTTTAAGTTTAATAGAGTACCTGCATTTAGTTAATATAAAAGCTGCTGCAGCACTGATGGTGATGATGAGGATGAGCGCAACACCAACCCCGACCAGCAAGATGGTGAGGTCATCGGGAGGCTCACTCACACTACTCGCTTCTCCACACTCTTCCCGGAACTCTGCTGTGAATCAACAACAAATGCCTTGAAAATGTGATAACACAATACTGGTAATAAGCACATAAGAAAGTCACCACAAGTGGGCCTGTTGGCCCATTCTAAGCAGTGCCCAATTAAACCCAACCTCTCTCTCTCCTATATATTTATCAAGCCTATTTTTAAAGCTAGCTATACCATTTACTTTCATGATGACAGGAAACTTATTCCACTACTGTGGTCAACTACCCTCTTGTCTAAACAATACTTCCCCATATCCTTCCTAAACCTGAACTTTTCCAACTTAGTCATTGTTACAGGTACACCATCTCAGTACACCTCAAACCTCAAACCTCCATCCCAGATGTGTGTAATGGCGAAGCTCCCAGGGGTTAGATCTAAAATTACATTATATTCATTCAGTAGTGTAAACACCGGCAAGTCTCCCAGTGCTGCTGGCTCCAAAAGTTGTGTTTCCCACATTCAGTAAAAATGCCTACTAGCTTTACCTAAGTGACTGCTTACTGACTGATGCTAAATGCTATTTAAATAGCAGTAGAGATGTGATTTGATAGAAAAAAATTGATGACTGGTATGCGATGAGGCTCATTACTCAAGAGTCCAAGCGAAATTAAAAGATCTATACCTCAGGCTATAGGCATTATTTGATATGAATATAGAGACATGCGGTGCTGGTATGTCCCCCCCTATACACCTCTGAGGGTGACAAGTGGTTGTGGGGGGAGGGGAGGGACGGGCAGGACTCACTATGGTAGAGATTGATGTTGACATTCACCACAGTTGGCCCTCGCCCTTCAATGAGGTAACTCACCGTGTGGCAAGTGCTCATGAGCTATCGATATTCTTTTGATGAGGACCTCTGTGGGGGTTTTCTATTTTGCTTTCCCGACTGCAATGCGTACGTCGCCAATGTACATGTGGCAGACGCTTCACGAAGCTGTTGGAATCAGCAGAGAAAATACGAGAGCAACCGTACAGGCCCTGGGAGCAAGGTCGAGTTAGAGTCCTTGAGGGTCTCTTCTCAGACTAGCCTCACATGGTCCTGGTTCACGTTGATCGTTGGAATCTCCTCAATGATTTAACACCTTAAGGGACTCCTAGGGTCCTCATCACATTTATAGTTTAGTGAATTAGGCAACTTGGTGTTGAAGACACCTAGAGCTGAAGGCTGGAGTAAATAGTTGGCAGTATTCAGAAGTGGTTCAACGGAAACACCGCATAAAGCTTAACAGTAGTTTATTTACTAACTTAACCACTAATACAAAGGGTGCTTGATTTACTTTAGATTGGCGTCAGAAAGGCTATGGTTGCATTAGCTTGTGGGAGATTGCTAGTTGTGAGAGACCAACTCTCACAACCTCTGGGGACAGGTACGGTGTGATATCAATCCCAGATCTTTCTCTCTATTTGTCTCTTGCAAGATTTCAAAACTTTAAAACTAACTAAAAAATGTTTCCCACATTCAGTAAAAAAGCTTACTAACTTTCGGAGGGGAAAGTAAACAGACTTGAGTGCTAAGTGTAAAGGGGAGGGAGCGGGCCCCATTTAGCCCAGTTATGTGTCACTTCACAGAGGTGAACCGGCCCTGAAGGCTCGCTCCCCCGGCCAGGCATGCGCGACATGGAGGACCACATACCTATGTGGTAAACCCTGCTATGTGGTCCACTATGCACTCCTCCTTTGAGACGAGGTGGGGGGGGGGGGATGAGGGTGTTAACTGGTTGGGGAGGGGGAGATGTTATGTTTACTTTGCTAACACCTCAATGCTTGGAATTTGTATGTTGAGGTCATGGCTCACCTTTGGGAAAGAACAATGACACACTCACGGCTACGAGGAGGTTCGTTACTCAGAGTCCAAGCGAAATTATAAGCGAAATTAAAAAAAAATATCTACCTCAGGCTATAGACATTGATAACCAGACCACACACTAGAAGGTGAAGGGACGACGACGTTTCGGTCCGTCCTGGACCATTCTCAAGTCTCAAGTCGTCAAACGTACACTTGATTATTCCTAGGGTTTGGTTAGTTTTCTTTACTGCTGCTCCTACCTGTTGGCCTTCTTAGGTGCTAGTTTGGCATTGCCTCTTCTCTGACAGTGATTTCTTTGGTAAGTTTCCGAGTTCAGCCCTGAGAGGTCATCAGGCTGTAATTACCCAAGTGTAGTTACAGGACGAGAGCTACGCGTGTGGTGTCCTGTTTCCCAGTACTGTTTGTCATGTGATGCTTTCAAACTACTGATGGTTTTGGTGGAGGCCAAAATTGTAGATACATAGAGTAACTTTGGGGATATCCAGTTGCACCCGCGTCTCTCTCCCTTCCCTACTCCCCTATCCTTCCCAATTTTCCCCCTCATTCATTTCTCTCTCTCCCTATACCTCCCTTTCTTCTCATCTACTCCTCTCCAGCTCCCCCATCCCCCCGGAGATCCCTCTCACCCCTGTCCACCTTTCTCCCCTAAACATCGCCCCTCTCACATCTCTCCCAATCCTCTCCCCAAGCTTTCCCTTTCTTCAAACATCCCTCATTCCCCTTCTTTCCCTCCTCCTCTTCCCTCGATCCCTGTTTTATTGAATTCACATTCATCGTGAACAAATCCAGGGACTCGACCAACCACCTTTCATTGATTAGTTGTTGGGAGGGGGGAGGGGGGTATCACTTCTGAATAGGTCCCATAGGAGCGACCCAGACCAGCGCATGTCCGTCCCATACACATACAATCATTCACCCTACAAAGTTAGGTTAGGCTACTACAGTGAAATTGTAAGAGGAATACTTGTAACCTTGCATGAGGAGGTGCTCCGGCGGCACCGGTGAGACGTCTCTGTTGCAGAAGTGTGTGTTACAGCACACCAGGTAGGGCCACGACCCGTCAACTGATGGACGCAGGTTCAAGCACAACAGTGTATTTAGGCCGCTGAAGTAGGAAAAGATAAACAAATGTTAAAAGTACTGTATAAAAATCTAAACACAATGATTAAAGTTGGTTTAGTTTTAAAATCCCAACATTTGTTAACATGTTATGATGAATTCCGTCACTGACATCATTACAAAATATTTTACGTTTTAATTTAAAGATTTTTTGTTTAAGATCTTCCATAATTTCGCCACTATCATTTCACTAATGTCAAAGTTGCCCTCCCTACGGTGCACATATTTTGTGTAAACCTCAGAACCTCTGTAACTCTCACTTTTATCCCCGATAACTTAAATAACCACAAAAAGAAACAAAACTCGTGTCTTACATAGAGGAAGCTACATAGTCTGCCCGGCTTGGCGCCTTCTTTAGATAATTACGTACTTATATAAAGGAAAACAACTTGTGGCTAACACAAAGTAAACACAGGCTGTGGGGGAAGAGGTAAACACAAGGGAGAAGGGGAGAAATGGGGAAGGGTGTAAGGCAGCAGGAGGCCGCCTGGCGTCAGGAAGCCCAAGAAAGGGCAGGCCCCCACAGGGCACACATCACGCACCCAAGCTAAGGCGCATTACAGGGCAGGACACGGCGCTAGGGAGGGCTTTACGGGTTTCATGACCGTGCCACCTCATAGCTGGCTTAATCTTCATCAATCAGCTAAGGAGGGACGGCTGATGGCCAGAGGACAAGGAGAACAAGGAGGAAGGGAGGGAGGAATAACACAAGGAACTGTAGACAAGAAAGGGACACCAGGACCCGGACACATAGGCGAAGGAGGCAGGCCCCCGGCACCAATTCGGGGGGCCCCGATGTAGAGGGGCGCCCAAGACTTTCACACTGGAGAGAGGTCAGGTAACGCGCCATGGACCCCCACCTCTGGTAGGGTCCAAAAAAGGTTTGGCGTTTTAATCGCCTCACGATAAGTCACACACTCTTCATGTTAAACTCTCACGGAAATTTTGATGACTAACTTCACAGCCCAAATGGGATGGGTGGGGGTGGAGAGAAGGGAGTTAGTTATCAGGGAAAAGCACTTGGAAGGGATCGGGGATAAGGATTTGGGACGGGACGGGGGTAAGGAATGGTGCCCAACCACTTGGACGGTAGGGGATTGAACGCCGATTTGCATGAAGCCAGACCTTTGGCTCTACCATCCAGTCCAAGTGGTTGGGCGCCATTCCCAATTATTAGTTAGTGTGGCGTGGGTCCTTAACTAGGACGTGTGTGTGTGTGTGTGTGTGTGTGTACTCACCTATTTGTGCTTGCAGGATCGAGCATTGACTCTTGGATCCCGCCTAAGTGTGTGTGTGTGTGTGTGTGTGTGTGTGTGTGTGTGTGTGTGTGTGTGTGTGTGCGTGGCGCTGCAGGGAGGAACTTAACATCTGGTAACTTCCGTGCACTTATTATTCTATATATTGCGTGAGTACTTCCTCCAATGTTCTAAAATCACGAACATCGACCATTCTATTTCCGTTATTAGGGATATTCGGTAACGTAGAATTTCAGTGCCAAAAAAAAAGGAAATAAATCAAATTGAAAGCTTAAAAAAACAAATCCAAGTGAATGGCTTGTAGGCTTTAGTATCTTGTATATCAAATCAAACTTAAAAGAAGAATACAATGCCCCAAGAATACAATGCAATGCAAAAGAACAATGCCCCAAGAATACAATGCAATGCAAAAGAACAATGCCCCAAGAATACAAGGGCCTATTGACCCATGTATTCTTGGGGCATCTTCCTTGGTTAGTTGCCGATATTAGTAAAATGTTAAATTACCTCCCACCATGACATTAAAGAGTAATTATCAAAATGCCAAATAAAGAAAAGAAGTGGAAATTATTTGAATGTCGGTAACAGTTACTGACTGTACTCTGTACCCCTGTGTCTGTGTACTCTGTACCCCTGTGTCAGTGTACCCTGTACCCCTGTGTCTGTGTACTCTGTACTCCTGTGTCTGTGTACCCTGTACCCCTGTGTCTGTGTACCCTGTACCCCTGTGTCTGTGTACTCTGTACTCCTGTGTCTGTGTACCCTGTACCCCTGTGTCTGTGTACCCTGTACCCCTGTGTCTGTGTACCCTGTACCCCTGTGTCTGTGTACTCTGTACTCCTGTGTCTGTGTACCCTGTACCCCTGTGTCTGTGTACTCTGTACTCCTGTGTCTGTGTACCCTGTACCCCTGTGTCTGTGTACTCTGTACCCTGTACCCCTGTGTCTGTGTACTCTGTACCCCTGTGTCTGTGTACTCTGTACCCTGTACCCCTGTGTCTGTGTACCCTGTACCCCTGTGTCTGTGTACTCTGTACCCTGTACCCCTGTGTCTGTGTACTCTGTACCCTTGTGTCTGTGTACTCTGTACCCCTGTGTCTGTGTACTCTGTACCCTGTACCCCTGTGTCTGTGTACTCTGTACCCCTGTGTCTGTGTACTCTGTACCCCTGTGTCTGTGTACTCTGTACCCCTGTGTCCCTGTACCCCTGTGTCTGTGTACTCTGTACCCCTGTGTCTGTGTACTCTGTACCCCTGTGTCTGTGTACTCTGTACCCCTGTGTCTGTGTACTCTGTACCCCTGTGTCTGTGTACTCTGTACCCCTGTGTCTGTGTACTCTGTACCCCTGTGTCTGTGTACTCTGTACTCTGTACCCCTGTGTCTGTGTACTCTGTACCCCTGTGTCTGTGTACTCTGTACCCCTGTGTCTGTGTACTCTGTACCCCTGTGTCTGTGTACTCTGTACCCCTGTGTCTGTGTACTCTGTACCCCTGTGTCTGTGTACTCTGTACCCCTGTGTCTGTGTACTCTGTACCCTGTACCCCTGTGTCTGTGTACTCTGTACTCTGTACCCCTGTGTCTGTGTACTCTGTACCCCTGTGTCTGTGTACTCTGTACCCCTGTGTCTGTGTACTCTGTACCCCCTGTGTCTGTGTACTCTGTACCCCTGTGTCTGTGTACTCTGTACCCCTGTGTCTGTGTACTCTGTACCCCTGTGTCTGTGTACTCTGTACCCCTGTGTCTGTGTACTCTGTACCCCTGTGTCTGTGTACTCTGTACCCCTGTGTCTGTGTACTCTGTACCCCTGTGTCTGTGTACTCTGTACCCCTGTGTCTGTGTACTCTGTACCCCTGTGTCTGTGTACTCTGTACCCCTGTGTCTGTGTACTCTGTACCCCTGTGTCTGTGTACTCTGTACCCCTGTGTCTGTGTACTCTGTACCCCAGTGTCTGTGTACTCTGTACCCCAGTGTCTGTGTACTCTGTACCCCTGTGTCTGTGTACTCTGTACCCCAGTGTCTGTGTACTCTGTACCCCTGTGTCTGTGTACTCTGTACCCCTGTGTCTGTGTACTCTGTACCCCTGTGTCTGTGTACTCTGTACCCCAGTGTCTGTGTACTCTGTACCCCAGTGTCTGTGTACTCTGTACCCCAGTGTCTGTGTACTCTGTACCCCTGTGTCTGTGTACTCTGTACCCCAGTGTCTGTGTACTCTGTACCCCTGTGTCTGTGTACTCTGTACCCCAGTGTCTGTGTACTCTGTACCCCAGTGTCTGTGTACTCTGTACCCCAGTGTCTGTGTACTCTGTACCCCTGTGTCTGTGTACTCTGTACCCTGTACCCCTGTGTCTGTGTACTCTGTACCCCAGTGTCTGTGTACTCTGTACCCCAGTGTCTGTGTACTCTGTACCCCAGTGTCTGTGTACTCTGTACCCCTGTGTCTGTGTACTCTGTACCCCAGTGTCTGTGTACTCTGTACCCCTGTGTCTGTGTACTCTGTACCCCAGTGTCTGTGTACTCTGTACCCCAGTGTCTGTGTACTCTGTACCCTGTACCCCTGTGTCTGTGTACTCTGTACCCCAGTGTCTGTGTACTCTGTACCCCAGTGTCTGTGTACTCTGTACCCCTGTGTCTGTGTACTCTGTACCCCAGTGTCTGAGTACTCTGTACCCCTGTGTCTGTGTACTCTGTCTGTACCCCAGTGTCTGTGTACTCTGTACCCTGTACCCCTGTGTCTGTGTACTCTGTACCCCAGTGTCTGTGTACTCTGTACCCCAGTGTCTGTGTACTCTGTACCCCTGTGTCTGTGTACTCTGTACCCCTGTGTCTGTGTACTCTGTACCCTGTACCCCAGTGTCTGTGTACTCTGTACCCCAGTGTCTGTGTACTCTGTACCCCTGTGTCTGTGTACTCTGTACCCCTGTGTCTGTGTACTCTGTACCCCTGTGTCTGTGTACTCTGTACCCTGTACCCCTGTGTCTGTGTACTCTGTACCCCTGTGTCTGTGTACTCTGTACCCCTGTGTCTGTGTACTCTGTACCCCTGTGTCTGTGTACTCTGTACCCCTGTGTCTGTGTACTCTGTACCCCTGTGTCTGTGTACTCTGTACCCCTGTGTCTGTGTACTCTGTACCCCTGTGTCTGTGTACTCTGTACCCCTGTGTCTGTGTACTCTGTACCCCAGTGTCTGTGTACTCTGTACCCCTGTGTCTGTGTACTCTGTACCCCAGTGTCTGTGTACTCTGTACCCCAGTGTCTGTGTACTCTGTACCCCTGTGTCTGTGTACTCTGTACCCCAGTGTCTGTGTACTCTGTACCCCTGTGTCTGTGTACTCTGTACCCCTGTGTCTGTGTACTCTGTACCCCTGTGTCTGTGTACTCTGTACCCCTGTGTCTGTGTACTCTGTACCCCTGTGTCTGTGTACTCTGTACCCCTGTGTCTGTGTACTCTGTACCCCTGTGTCTGTGTACTCTGTACCCTGTACCCCAGTGTCTGTGTACTCTGTACCCCTGTGTCTGTGTACTCTCTACCCCTGTGTCTGTGTACTCTGTACCCCTGTGTCTGTGTACTCTCTACCCCTGTGTCTGTGTACTCTGTACCCCTGTGTCTGTGTACTCTCTACCCCTGTGTCTGTGTACTCTGTACCCCTGTGTCTGTGTACTCTGTACCCCCTGTGTCTGTGTACTCTCTACCCCTGTGTCTGTGTACTCTGTACCCCTGTGTCTGTGTACTCTCTACCCCTGTGTCTGTGTACTCTGTACCCCTGTGTCTGTGTACTCTGTACCCCTGTGTCTGTGTACTCTGTACCCCTGTGTCTGTGTACTCTCTACCCCTGTGTCTGTGTACTCTCTACCCCTGTGTCTGTGTACTCTGTACCCCTGTGTCTGTGTACTCTGTACCCCTGTGTCTGTGTACTCTCTACCCCTGTGTCTGTGTACTCTCTACCCCTGTGTCTGTGTACCCTGTACCCCTGTGTCTGTGTACTCTCTACCCCTGTGTCTGTGTACTCTGTACCCCTGTGTCTGTGTACTCTGTACCCCTGTGTCTGTGTACTCTCTACCCCTGTGTCTGTGTACTCTCTACCCCTGTGTCTGTGTACTCTCTACCCCTGTGTCTGTGTACTCTCTACCCCTGTGTCTGTGTACTCTGTACCCCTGTGTCTGTGTACTCTCTACCCCTGTGTCTGTGTACTCTCTACCCCTGTGTCTGTGTACTCTCTACCCCTGTGTCTGTGTACTCTCTACCCCTGTGTCTGTGTACTCTCTACCCCTGTGTCTGTGTACTCTCTACCCCTGTGTCTGTGTACTCTCTACCCCTGTGTCTGTGTACTCTCTACCCCTGTGTCTGTGTACTCTCTACCCCTGTGTCTGTGTACTCTCTACCCCTGTGTCTGTGTACTCTCTACCCCTGTGTCTGTGTACTCTCTACCCCTGTGTCTGTGTACTCTCTACCCCTGTGTCTGTGTACTCTGTACCCCTGTGTCTGTGTACTCTCTACCCCTGTGTCTGTGTACTCTCTACCCCTGTGTCTGTGTACTCTCTACCCCTGTGTCTGTGTACTCTCTACCAAGTGGAATGCTCTGAAAGAAGAAGCTGTGGAAGTTAAGTTAGTTTAGTCATTTATTATGCACCCCATACCCATCTTGTGGGCGGTAGTGGAAAGGGTTACAGAGACACATAATGGGCTCAGGGACTGAACCTCACAATTCATTTAGCTAAGCAAGTTACAATCTTGATGAACTAGTTACAAAGTTCAATACACATCGTCACATCAACAATGGGCTCGAGATTGACCACAAGTACAGTTTCTAAATTAAGCAACCGATATATTGGTGGAAGCCGCCTACATTCACAACTTTAGTGACAGGTTCGACAAAGAATTTGAAAGTAAGAATTGTAAAGATTTAACGCATTCAACAAGGCTAGTAAGCGGGGCACAAGAGCTAGAGCTCGCTTCCCCATAGTGACTGATAGGTAAGTACACGCCCTCCCTCCACACACCCACCGCTAAATTACCAGTCGTTGATTAAACTTGATGTGGGAACTTACCCATCAGTGATGAAGGTATATGATGTGGGGTCAACTTACCCATCATTGATGCAGCCGCGGATGACAGGATGAGTGCCGTCACAGCGGTCGAGGAGCTGTGAGTAACACATGTGTGATGTGGAGCAGGTGTGGACGCCGCTAGCAACACACTCAGTGGTGGAACACTCACAGTTGATGACTCGCTCTGTGTAATACACAACGACGTTACTCACACCATGTCACAACATGTGTTAAAGTTATGTAGTCAGTAAGTTCCAAGACTTAGTTTATTGCATAAATAAGACGTGTCAACAGCCTCCTCTCATGACCAGGGCCTCGCCCACACTGCTCACGGGAGGCCTAAGTTAAGTATTAAGAAATATTAGCAATTATAGAGACGCCTTAGAGAATGATAGAGACGCCTATATAGAGAATGATAGAGACGCCCATGCAGGCGCCTTTCATGGAGTCAAGTTTTATTTGGAAACACCAAATATTTCATACTTGACACCATGAAAGTCGCCTGAGGGAAGGGTCTCTATGATTGCTTATATTTCTTATTAACAATTATAGGAAAGTGTGTGTGATGGGAGGGAAGAGGACAGGAAAAGGGACGGGGAGATGGGTGGTTTATGGGGTTCCCTTTCTTGTGTATATACAGTCTTTCTTGTAGGCAAATATTATTGAATGTAAGAAAGGCTGAAATATATTATTTTAAGGCAAATCATCTTTATTTTTCTCCAGTTGAGAAGGAAGTTGACAAATTAACTCTCCAAAACTCTCTTCTGACGTCTGACGCAAAACAGAAGCTGTTTGTCACCTGTTACCTGGTTGTTACGGCCCTATTGGGACGCAACCGGGTTCTTCTCTGATGGTAGTAGAGTTTGCGAATCCGGCCCCAAGTTAGTAGAGGCTTTCAAGGGGTGTGTTCCGTAACGCAAGTTAAATTAAAGGGGGAGGGATACAAATGTTCCAGTTTTTCTGATATATATTTCCACCACCATGTATAAATAAATAACAGTCACACACGGGGATTATAACTACACAATTATGTACAGGTTCGTCTTCCTCCGAAGACACTGGATGCTCAACGGTGCTCACTCTGGGTAGCCCTGGTTCCTTCTTCCGTGGCCCACGATGAATCCACTATGACTATGACGAATCTACCCTGGCCTCAGGCCAGCCAAATCACAGTCCCACTGGGTGCTTCGTCGTGGAGGCCTTCAACCATAATCCAGCCTGTAGCTGGCAGATACCGATCAGCTCCGCTGTGAAGGCCACTCCACGACCGATACTAGGGTTGCGAGCCCTAGGCAGGAGCCTCGTGTGACCCGCTGATCACTCTTCTCACTAAGCACCACAGTGGCTAGTCTCTTCCACCTGCCAGCCCCGGATAAGGCGATTCCCGACACTGCCACGCCTCAGGCAGGCTATTACACTCTCAACAGAGTTCGTCCGGGGGTGGCTCACAGCTTCTTCAAAGCAGACTCGTGAAGAGACCTTGGCTGCCTTGGGTAGACTGGTCCATTGTCCAACACAGCAGTCTTAGGTCGACTCTGCAATCAGATATGTCATTAATACTGGGACGCTCTAGGGAACCTCACTTACAAGATTAGACACAAACGTCCACCTCTCCACTCCATAGATGGCGTTGCTGTCTAAGCGCCACCTTACCAGAGGTGAGCAACGGCTATTCCACGAGTCAATTAAGACGGGAATCCAGCACGTATTGCCGGCGTCTCTCGAAATCACTAGATGGCGTCGTCCATTTGGAGGGGGTTTCGGGAGCGGACTCACAGATGGCGTTGCTGTCACTGCTCCGTGCTCCGACGATGGACTTGGGTCCGTAACACTGGTACATTATCGAAGGCAGATTTCGAATGGTTACAAAGTGATTGACGAAGATTAAGTCACCCAAGAGGTGGCATGGGCATGAATAGCCCATAACTTGTTACAAAGTTTCGTACCTATACGCCTATTTCCTGCTTATATCCTGGCTATATATATTCTGTTTTTTGCTATTTTTTTTTTTTTTGAGATATATACAAGAGTTGTTACATTCTTGTACAGCCACTAGTACGCGTAGCGTTTCGGGCAGGTCCCTGGAATACGATCCCCTGCCGCGAAGAATCGTTTACTCTGCTTATTACTTATTGTTTTAGATTCATCTACTGGGAACAAAAAAGTTGCAAGTAGCACGAGCTATGGTGAGCCCGTATATATCCTGATTGATGAAGATTAAGCCACCCAAGAGCATGAATAACCTGTAAGTGGTAGATTTGTTTTGAATGAATGTATAGTGTGCTAGTATACATTCAAATTGCATTTAAATCGTCAAGTTGCTATCGCGGGGGAGGATACTGCTTGACAGTATTCATGAGGGTGTCCAGCTGCTGGACATATTTTTTGACCAGAAGAGTGGCTGTGTTGATGGCTTCAGGGTGGTTACTGCATGATTCAGGGACTCTTGAAGCTCTTCTAAGGTCATTGGTGGCTTCACATGCCAGGAGATAGTGAAGTAATGGCTTTTCTGTGACAGTTTGGCAGAAGATGCACCCTCTCTGTCGGGGTTCACCAATCTCCCAGTTGCATCTGTAACCTAGACGTAGTCTATATAACCGAACTGAATGGATAAAACAATGGTTAAAACAGAAAACAAAAGGTCGTGCTAAATGGGAATGAATCTGACTGGGGGAAATGTGCTAAGTGGGATCCCACAGGGGTCCATTTTGGGCCAACCTTTTTTGTCATATACATCATTGACATAGATGAGATTATTACAAGCCACATCATCATATTTGCAGATGACACTAAGAGCTAAAGTGGGAAGTGAAAGTGATATCGAGATACAAAGAGGTCTACTTGAACTCCACAGATGGTCAGATGACTGGCAAATGCTCTTTAATATAGACAAATGAGAGACCTTGCATGTGAGGGCATAACAATCCACGTCACAGCTACCAAATTAACAGCATTACCTTACAAAAGATAGATGAAAAAAAGGACCTTGAAGTCAGAATCCATCATTCACTAAAAGTTGCACAACAAGTGGGAGCTGCAGTAAAAAAAGAGAATCAAACCTTGGGAATAATCAAGCGTACCTTTACCTTCAAGGAAAATAAATTAGTCGTTCAATTGTATAAGTCTCTGGTGCGCCCCCCCCCCCTGGATTATTGTATCCAGGCATGGAAGCCTCATCTACAGACGAACACAGCTGCTCTGGACGATGTGCAACACCGGGCAATAAAAAGCATCCCAGAGCCAAGTCATCTCTTGTATCAGGAACGGTTGAGGGCCACAGGACTAACAACACTATAGACCAGGCATGACAGGACGGATCTCATCGAAACCTTTAAAATACTGAACAATTTGGACGATGTAGATTCCAACAATTTCTTCAAATGATGAGATGTAACACGAACGAGGAGCAACGGGTTCAAGCCCAACAAGCCACAATGTAGGACAGAGAACAGGAATTGCTTTTTCACCCATAAAGATGTAAACCCGTGGAACCGCTTACCCACCGACTCCGTAAACGCCCAAATTCTGCTGGGTTTTAAAATACAATTAGAAAATATCATCAGGGCAAATGGGGGGACCTTTGACAAGCCGCCGGCCTCCTGTCCTCGTCGAGGCCAGTAGTATTAGTGGCCCTCGGTTAAATTTCTATCGAAAGTGTTTTTTAGGACCCTCTCTACCGTTTTGTGAGACGTGGAAAGAAGTTCCTGTATAATATATAAACATTATGGAGCGATTGTGTACTGTTGTCTGTTATATCTGTAGAGTCATGGCGGCTAACCTTACTTTTGATGACTTTCTCAACATAGCCATTATAGTAGTCATTATTGACGAGGACCTGCCCTACTCTACCGAGGTGCTCGTCAACCAGCCTCCAGCTGGAGGTGTGTGTGAGGGCGCGGTTGAGGTAAGTGTTGACAACAGTCCGCGGGTACCTTTCCTTCTTGGAGACAATGCCTGTTTTGGATCATTTTTTGTTGCATTTTGTATGTGGCTGTAATACAGGAGTAATACAGTGTCCACTCCCGAAAAATAGAAAACACTCAATGATTTACTAATATTACCGGCTTACCGTTACAAACTTTCCAATCATTTTATGAATAGTACTTTAAAAAACAATCAAATAAATTACATTTAAAAGTACCTCAGACCCTTTTTCTTGGAAACTGGAAACTGGAAACTTGGACCCTACATAGAATACACCGAGGACCATTTTGTAGAAAATTAAATTTTAACTCAAAAAGTATTCGATATCTATTTAGCTGAAAATAATAGGAAACAAGTTATTTGACAAAGACACTTACACTTTCAGTGCCATTTTTCCAAGCTGGCGAGCGATGTCTCCCGAGGGAGACTTATTGACTTAGTCTGGAATAAGGACTCCTATAATGAAGGGTTTAACACAGTTTCCAGCTTTTGGGGAGTTGTTCATCAGTGCCATTGTTGTTTGTCTTAATTGAATAGGTTGCTTAAGTGGAAGCTGGAAACTCAAATGAGTCGAGAAAATGTAAGGAAGTTCTCGTACCGTATACGGGTGGCCGACACGTGGAACACATTGAAGGAAGTTGTGGGAGCCACCTCCACCCACAAGACTAAGGCCAGATTCGACAAAGAATTCGACTGTGAGAATAATTAAAGTATAACGCAACAGGTACAACCAGGTTAGTAGGCGAGGCATACAGAACAACAGGCCCTTACCTGCACTCATTTATAGTTAAGTACTGAGAGGTAACTGCCTGAAGGTGTACACGGACCACCTTAAACTGCTCCCAGTCCCCTTGGTGTAGCGGTAACACTCTCGCCTCAACCCATCCTCGACTCAAGTCCATTACATCCAGCGGTCAACCCCACAGACGCATTCATAAATTTTAACATGCTGTTCATTCAAAACGGGAATTTTCTCAAATATAAATTAATATTATAATATATTAGCATATTGTGTATAAATAGGCATAGGTTAAGTTAGGTCAGGTGTTTAGGTTCTGTTGGCGATTATTTGTATTTGTAGTACGTGGGTGAAGCATTTACAGCGTTGTGGTTCGAACAAAATTCGTCAGTGAAGCACTTGTTCCGGAAGTGTTCGAACGAAATCAGTTATGAGTCGTGTGTAAACCATTTTTCATTCATAAACAGGGGGTTTGGCGGGTGCATGGAATCACTTTTGGGTCTTTGTTTGGAGGACGGGCTGCTCGCCTAGAGTTTCGCGAGCGATTTGTCCAGGGTTCGTATCCTGGCCGGTGAAGATTTACTGACGTCAATTCTTAACCGTAGCCTCTGTTTACCCAACAGTAAAATAGGTACATGGTTGTTTAACGATTTGGCGGGGTCGTATTCCAGGGAACATTAGGATTACGGACCTGCCCGAAACACTATGCGTGCTAGTGGCTGTACAAGATTGTAAAAACTCTTGTATATCTGTATGACAAAGACAAAACAACAAAAAGTGAGCGGTGGGCGGGGGTGGGGGTGGTGGGGAGAGCATCCGGGCTGGGAGCCAGCGCCGGGTTGCTGCCTGATGCTCGGCTCCTCCACCAGCGACCAGGCAAACACCTGCCGGCGCCCAGGACAGGTTAACTGAATACTTTATTGGGCGAGGCTCGAGGCAACCTGGTTTATGCCGCTCAAGGAAACACTTAACCGGATATGTGGAGCATCTCTGAGCGAAACCTAGAGACTGGTCAATGGTGTTCGCCTCCCGTCAGTAGTGAAGGCAGTAGTCAACGAGAGAGGTAGCCTCATCTCTGTTATATATAATCATTAACACAATATCTGAATAACATTAACATTACTTAACTTTTGCAACTGATTTAGATAATATTTAACTCAGTATCTCTTGATAGTGAATCAGGTGATATCGACGGAGGCGAACATATAGAATACTGTCACCATGGTGACTGAGGTGGTGGTCATTGTGGTATGACCATGGTGGCTGAGGTCACTACCACCTGGACCATGACCATGGTGGCTGAGGTCACTACCACCTGGACCATGACCATGGTGGCTGAGGTCACTACCACCTGGACCATGACCATGGTGGCTGAGGTCACTACCACCTGGACCATGACTATGGTGGCTGAGGTCACTACCACCTGGACCATGACCATGGTGGCTGAGATCACTACCACCTGGACCATGACCATGGTGGCTGAGGTCACTACCACCTGGACCATGACCATGGTGGCTGAGGTCACTACCACCTGGACCATGACCATGGTGGCTGAGGTCACTACCACCTGGACCATGACCATGGTGGCTGAGGTCACTACCACCTGGACCATGACCATGGTGGCTGAGGTCACTACCACCTGGACCATGACCATGGTGGCTGAGGTCACTACCACCTGGACCATGACCATGGTGGCTGAGGTCACTACCACCTGGACCATGACCATGGTGGCTGAGATCACTACCACCTGGACCATGACCATGGTGGCTGAGGTCACTACCACCTGGACCATGACCATGGTGGCTGAGATCACTACCACCTGGACCATGACCATGGTGGCTGAGGTCACTACCACCTGGACCATGACCATGGTGGCTGAGGTCACTACCACTCACCATTAACACAATAATATACAATCGTTGAGACAATCAGAGCATCTTGGTCACCTTGGATTTGATGAATCTGCCAGAGACTCCAGCCAATATTTGTGTCCTCGTGAACAAGTTTGGCTCCAAAACAGGTAAACACTGACTCCCCTCTTGTATGGCTGGCCTGGGGAAGTTGGCCCCGTTGTATGGCTGGCCTGGTGAAGTTGGACCCGTTGTATGGCTGGCCTGGTGAGGTTGGCCCCGTTGTATGGCTGGCCTGGGGAAGTTGGCCCCGTTGTATGGCTGGCCTGGTGAAGTTGGACCCGTTGTATGGCTGGCCTGGTGAGGTTGGCCCCGCTGTATGGCTGGCCTGGTGAGGTTGGCCCCGTTGTATGGCTGGCCTGGTGAGGTTGGCCCCGTTGTATGGCTGGCCTGGTGAGGTTGGCCCCGCTGTATGGCTGGCCTGGTGAGGTTGGCCCCGCTGTATGGCTGGCCTGGTGAGGTTGGCCCCGCTGTATGGCTGGCCTGGTGAGGTTGGCCCCGTTGTATGGCTGGCCTGGTGAGGTTGGACCCGTTGTATGGCTGGCCTGGTGAAGTTGGCCCCGTTGTATGGCTGGCCTGGTGAAGTTGGTCCCGTTGTATGGCTGGCCTGGTGAAGTTGGACCCGTTGTATGGCTGGCCTGGTGAAGTTGGACCCCGTTTTAAGGCAGAACTACTTAAAACCAAGGTTGAGGCCCACTACCCGTTGCCCCCCCCCCCTCCAGCACCCTGAGGGGTTGACCCCTGGAGGTCACTCTAAGGTCACACGTGTTGTAACTCTCATTGTTACTAATCAATGCTGTGATTTTCCTGATTGGGATTACATTTAAAGATTATAGAATTTTCAGATAATGATTATAATATTATACGACTGGTTATGGTCATGTGTTCTCTCAGCCAGCGCCTCTCATGTTGTACTGTTGATGTTATCTGGAGATATTATCTATCCCATCCTACTCACATGTACGTTGGCGAGCCACAGCAACCTTTCCCTGTCCCCTCGTCCTCCCAACCATTCCCCACTCCCTCGACGGATGCATTCCCAAATGATCTGATGTTCCCATCAGAAAATTGGGGACATCAAATGATCTGATGTTCCCATCACTGAAAGATAAGATAAACAATTAAAAAACGAAATGAAAAACATTTAAAAATTAAAAAATAAACTATATTCACGAAATGAACGGTATGGTAAACAACACAGCTCAATTACAATGCCATGTCACATAAAATAATTAAATCAAAATGAAAATAAATCGAAATCAATTAAATTAATTTCATCAATGAAATCGGAAATACTGAAATGGAATCATAACATAATTAGTATTTCATGTGTTGCTCTTACGTACAAAAGATGGCGCTGTTTAAAAAAAAAAAGCATACTTTTACCTGTCACAGGTGTTGCATCTATACTTATACGCACGAAAGGAGCGGTATGGTAAACAACACTTCCCAATTCCAATGTACTGTCACAGAAAATAAATAAATCAAAACGAAAATAAATCGAGATCTATGAAAATTAAGTTTATCATTGCAATCGGAAACATTGAAATAGAATCGTAACATATTTAGTATTGCATGTGTTGCTGTTACTTGAAACAGATGGCGCTGTTTGTCAAAAATAGCATATTTTTACCTGTCACAGGTGTAGCATCTATATAGTAGGTATATAAAAATATGTGCGTATTAGAATGGAACGTTGTGGCTTAATTTCAAAGCAATTGGTGAAGAGGTTTCGAAGATTACTGTGTGTGTTGCTCTTACGTCCAACAGATGGCACTATTTTTCAGAAAAAGCATGTTTTTTCCTGTCACAGGTGAGGCATGTATATAGTAGGTATATAAAAGCATGCGCCTATTCGAATTCAACGTTGTGTCAAAATTTCAAAGCAATCGGTAAAGAGATTTCGAAGATTTCCCTCACATGAAAAACACAGTTTTCCCAAAAAAAAAAAATCATGTTTTTTTCCCGCCACAGCCGTGACACCTATATAATATGTATATAAAAACCCGCTCGGATACGACTGGAACATTGTGTAAACATTTCAAAGCAATCGGTGAAGAACTTTCGGAGATTAGCTATTTTGAACAAACGAACATTTCCATTGATATAGATTATTTTTATTTTAATCAAGTATAATCGCAATGTACTATACAGATATATTATCATGACTATATCATGACAGATATAATATACAGATATATTATCATGACTATATCATGACAGATATACTATACAGATATATTATCATGACTATATCATGACAGATATAATATACAGATATATTATCATGACTATATCATGACAGATATACTATACAGATATATTATCATGACTATATATACTATACTACTAGATATACAAATTTACCTACATACTTTCTTTGTACTTAGTTTATTAACATAAAAAGATTCATAATTAATAATAATAATAATAATATGATACATTTATTCTCTCGCAAATTATTGCATATATAATTACTTCAAAGAGTACCCGGCGGTGCTCAGGACAGTCTGCTCCCCCCACCCTAACTGGCCCCCCCTATACCCTCCCCTCCCCCTATCCGTATTCTTCCTCCCCTCCACGTCAACTGACAAATTTCCATTTAATTCTGACTTCTCCTTCATCACTTTCAAGAGAACGAGTCTTGGGACTTGGCTAGCTGCCTTACACCCATTTTATTGGTTGGGGGTCACTAGTTTGCCTTACCCCCTACTAATAGGATCATTAGGACCGACCCCGACTAGCCTATGACCGTCCCATACCCCAGACCATTCTTCCCGGCAAAGTTGGATGAGGCTAACCCCAAACATCTGGCCTCCAATCTTGGACAGACAGACAGATAGAAATTCACTCTTATAAATACAGATTGTCTGCACACATATACGAGGAACTGGAAAAATAGTCTGATATTAAAAAAATAATTACATTTCAGTATTTAAATGAAGATTTGGTTGAATGTTTTTTGATATGTTAGAAACTTTAGGAAATGCTTCCATGCTAGGCCTTTAGACAAATATTTTACCAGATAAAGTATTTCCAACACTTTTAAGGACATGTTTATGGACAAATTCCGTCCTTTCTCAACACTGTAATAGGTTTAAATCATTTTCTAACTTCTGTGGAGTGTGTTGTAATTTTAGGTGGCTTCTAGGGCGTGTCTAGTGATGTTATACGCACTGTAAGGAGGGGAGTATAATTATTATAAGTGACTGGTAGAGAGTGCGGAGTAATTATAGCCTTGGGACCTGTATGGTGACAAGTGTGGCAGGACTGGCTGTCTAGCCTTCAACCTTACACACACACTCACCCGGCCACACTACTCTCAAGGTCACCAACCCTTCTCCTCCCTCACTTATCTTTGTCCCAGAGATCACGCTACATGCTCACGTTCACTTCTCAGTGTTGGAGAGACGCTGACGTTCAGTTCTCAGTGTTGGAGAGAGGCTGAGGTTCAGTTCTCAGTGTTGGAGAGACGCTGACGTTCAGTTCTCAGTGTTGGAGAGAGGCTGAGGTTCAGTTCTCAGTGTTGGAGAGAGGCTGACGTTCACTTCTCAGTGTTGGAGAGAGGCTGACGTTCAGTTCTCAGTGTTGGGGAGAGGCTGAGGATCAGTTCTCAGTGTTGGAGAGAGGCTGACGTTCAGTTCTCAGTGTTGGAGAGAGGCTGACGTTCAGTTCTCAGTGTTGGAGAGAGGCTGACGTTCACTTCTCAGTGTTGGGGAGAGGCTGACGTTCAGTTCTCAGTGTTGGGGAGAGGCTGACGTTCAGTTCTCAGTGTTGGGGAGAGGCTGAGGTTCAGTTCTCAGTGTTGGGGAGAGGCTGAGGTTCAGTTCTCAGTGTTGGGGAGAGGCTGACGTTCAGTTCTCAGTGTTGGGGAGAGGCTGACGTTCAGTTCTCAGTGTTGGGGAGAGGCTGACGTTCAGTTCTCAGTGTTGGAGAGAGGCTGACGTTCAGTTCTCAGTGGTCGCATGTGGGTACAGAAACAGAGGAGGTCTGACTTGTGTTAGCAGGCTTAGAATTTTCCCTTCCCAGTTCGTGGTAAGATTTACCCACTATTTTCCCATGGAATATAGTGGGTAAATCGTGTTACAATTTAATCGGTTAACTGATTAATCCAATCGGTTAACAATCGTGTTAACCAAATGGCTGGTCAATAACACGACCAGCCAATCGGTTAACAACCGATTGGCTGTTCCGATTAGCACCCTAGTGCTGCTTGATAAATAGAGGGGAACAGTTAAAAACTGGCACCTAGACAATCCTTCCTGACCAACGTCTCGAACACAGGCGCGAGGCGAGTGTGTTACCACGGCGTCACCAGGCACTGTTGTGGAGGTTCCGCCAGGTAGAACACGCCGCCTCCATTAGCGTTTTTCCGCGGGCGAGGGCATACCTGGTGGTGTTGTCCAGCCCTTCCCTGCTGGGACACGGGGGCGAGGGCACGCCTGGTGGTGTTGTCCAGCCCTTCTCTGCTGGGACACGGGGGCGAGGGCACGCCTGGTGGTGTTGTCCAGCCCTTCTCTGCTGGGACACGGGGGCGAGGGCATGCCTGGTGGTGTTGTCCAGCCCTTCCCTGCTGGGACACGGGGGCGAGGGCACGCCTAGTGGTGTTGTCCACCACCTTTGTCCACAAGCTTTTTCCACTGTTGGTGTGATAGACTTGTGAGTGCAGGTGCGGCATAGTCGATCACTGCTCTGACTGCTTGTACATAGTATGTGCAAAGGACTTGCAGATTGGCTCCTCCAAAGTGGGAGGTTAGTGACCTGAGGATTGCCGTCTAGGCTGCAGTTCTCTCTCTCAAGTAAGTGACCTTAACATTAAAATTTGTGTCCAGGATTATTCCTAGATACTGATATGTGTCCACTCATTCATTTGGTTGACCCTGTACTGTGAGTTGGATGTTGGGCTTCGCTATTTTTATGAGCATGGCTTTTGTTTTTGTGGGTTGAGTTTGATACCAATCTGCTTTGCCTCTTCACTGAAACAGTCTAAGCATTTGGGTGCAAGGCGCGCCGCATCCCTTCCTTTTATGATGATGACAAAGTCGTCCGCATAGTTTAGCAGCCTGCAGTGATGTGGAAGTTTCAACCTCATTATTCTTTCCATTAAACAGTTGAAGAGAAGGGTGCTGAGAATGCCTCCTTGTGGTGTACCATTTTCATGTCTTTTGTATTTAGAGACCGTGCCATGACGTTTTACTCTTGCTTCTCTGTTTATGAGACAGATTTTGGTCCAGGAGAGCAGGTTGCCTTTGACCTCTTTGTCGATGAGGCAGCAGAGATTAGCTGGGGCTCTAGCCATTTCAAAGTCTTTCTCCAGGTTGAGGAATATCAGCATTCCTGGACTGTCATTCAAGTGGGCTAACAGAGTTGTAATACACTCCACTGTGCCAACCCCTCTTCTATAGGCATACATATCATTGTGCAGTTTAGGCATTTTCCACTCAAGTCTGTTGAGTGCCATTCTGTCAGCCGTCTTGGCTGCACAGCTTTGGAGAGAGATGGGCCTGGGGTTTACTGAATCTCTGGGTTTTGGGATCGGCACTATGTCTGCTCTATTCCAAGCTGTAGGTCTAGTTTGAGAAGTCCGGGCTAAATTAATTAACCTTAGGTATGCAGCGTCTCCCTCTGGGCCGAGGTTTCTAATCATTTTATAGGTTATTTGGTCGCCTCCAGGGGAAGTATCTTTGGATGTTTTTCTTAGCCCGATTCAACTCATCTAATGTAAAAGGGGTATTAGTGTCAGAGACTTCTTCACATGCTGTAAGGATTCTGTGCCATCTTTCTTCCTCTAGTCCTGTCTGCACTGTTAATACATCTGGTGGAAGCTGATTGCTGGCTGTTCTTTCTGCAAACCTGGTTGCCAATACGTCGACTTCCTGATGTGGATCCTTAGGGTGTGGGGCTTTAGGTGTTTTATTTCCTTTGGCCCGGTGAATTTGCTGCCACATCTCTCCGAGAGAGGTGTGTTCATTCAGATGTGAACACCATTCCAGTCACTTTTGTTCTTTTATTAGTCTGGTCTCTTGATGCACATGTTCCTTGACTTCACAAAGTAAGGTCCTGTTGCGGTCACTTGGCTGCTTTTTGTATAGCTTTCTTGTTCTGTTGAGTCTATGATTGAGTTCTTTAACACGTTCGCAATAGTACCAGTGATCTTTTTGGTGTCTGGTGGACTGTTTTTTCAGTGGGATTGAGTGGTTGGCTGCACTTTGAATAGCTTTGACAAAATCTTGTTCTGCCTGATTAATGTCTTTGGGAAGAACATAATTTCTATGCAACTTTGAGATGAGATTTTGAAAAGGTCCCATTTTGTTGAGCGAAGTTCCAGGCTTCTGATGGAGGTGGAGATGGGGTGGGTAGATCCAACTTTAGATCTGTTTGGACCCCATAGTGGTCGCTTGTGAGTGTGGGCTCAACTGACCATGTTGCTGCATCTCTTAGGCAGGCTGAAACGAAGGTAAGATCTAGTCTATCTCCTTGGATGTGGGTGGGTTCACTCTTGTTTAGGATTTGAATTTCTGGAAGCTGTCTAGTAGATGTACAATGTGAGTGCTGGCCTCATTTGTTGTCTTCGAGCTGAGTGTCAAACGATGATGGGCATTGAAATCACCACAAATTATTATGTGAGGGGGGGGGGGGGTCGCGTGTCCAGATAAGACCGAGTGTTATGAACCCAACTCCATCGTCGGAGCATGGAGTATCAACGTCAACGCCATCTGTGAGTCTGCCCCCTAAACCTCCACAAAATGGACAACGCCATCTGGTGGTGGCTGTAGGATATCTGTCAGAGACTAGATTCCGGCCTTGGTCAGCCCGAAGAGTCGCTGTAGCTGACCTCTGGTAAGGTGGCGCCTAGAAATCAGCGCCATCTATCGTGATAGAAGTTGTATGTCAATGTCAGAGTCCGTAAGTGGTATTTCCTAGTATCCCAAGTACTGGCCAGTTTACTGATGACGTGTCTGTGTCCACAGAGGCGACGTAGGGCTGTAGTGGCACGAGGACAATCAGTCTACCCAGGGCAGCCTATTATATCTCTACTCCATTCTGCTTTACGTGAGCAGTGAGCAGCCGCCTTAGAGGAACTGAGTAGTATCTACTGTCTGCCTGTGAAGTGGCAGTGACAGAATTCGGCGTATCCCGGGACTGGCTACAGAAAGAGACGACCGACAGTCAGGTGCTACGGAGGAGTGAAGAGTCAGCTCTTCATTCATCAGAATCCTCAACAGCTTATACTGTTGAGGATACATAAAGCCAGCAGGTGGTAAGTCAGTCAACTTGATACATGCTACCATACAACGTTGAAGGTCATGCATGTTTTCTCTCTGGGAAAGCTGACATTTAGTGCATTCCACAGTGGAGGTCTGAGCGTCGCCTGATACATGTGGGGGGCTGGCATCTTAATCATGCCCGGGCCCAGTGCTAAGCTTACTGCTGGTGCCCTGTAGACCTCTCCCATCATGGTGGTCATCACTGTTGTCGTCACGTGATGAACACCGCGATGAGTCGGGTGGCCGTGGCGGGTGAGTCGGGTGGCCGTGGCGGGTGAGTCGGGTGGCCGTGGCGGGTGAGTCGGGTGGCCGTGGCGGGTGAGTCGGGTGGCCGTGGCGGGTGAGTCGGGTGGCTCTGGCGGGTGAGTCGGGTGGCTCTGGCGGGTGAGTCGGGTGGCTCTGGCGGGTGAGTCGGGTGGCTCTGGCGGGTGAGTCGGGTGGCTCTGGCGGGTGAGTCGGGTGGCTCTGGCGGGTGAGTCGGGTGGCTCTGGCGGGTGAGTCGGGTGGCTCTGGCGGGTGAGTCGGGTGGCTCTGGCGGGTGAGTCGGGTGGCTCTGGCGGGTGAGTCGGCTGGCTCTGGCGGGTGAGTCGGCTGGCTCTGGCGGGTGAGTCGGCTGGCCGTGGCGGGTGAGTCGGCTGGCCGTGGCGGGTGAGTGAGGTGCGTGAGCGGGTGACTCATGAGGGCAGCGTGACCCTCACATTCACCTGACCGTGATTAATGAACACACCTGAGCTGCCAGGGCCTCGACACGCTCCCCTGGCTCCCTCCCTACAAGGCACTCTACACAACATTCGTCATACCACTACTGAAGTATGCAGCACCGGCATGCAACCCCAACCTTCTGAACCATGAAAACTAAGTTTAAAAAATTACCGAAGTTTTCAACAAGATATGTGCCGGAGTTAAGTGGGTTAGGCTATGGGGACGGAAGAAGCAGAGATATGAGCACAACATACAAGATAGATAAGATAAGGTCAGATTCTGTAATTTGACATCTCCCTCCCTCCCTTGTCCCAACGGCACCAGACCCAAGATACACTGTTGTAAGGTTATTGTAAGGTAAGTTCACAGCTGTGTGTCCGGGTTTTCTTTCTCTGTCTACCACAAACCCATGCATAGTGGCATGTACATTCACTTCTTTTCCTTCCATTCTCCTTCTGTTAAGGAAAGTGTCCTCGTCTCTCTCTTCCTCCGCGCTCTACGCATCAGCGACCCTCAGTTTCTGGATTCTGAAATTCCCTTTATTTACAAATCTTTCTCTTGCCTGGTTACTCTTTCCATTTTATCAACTGTGCCTATTCTCAAGCTAAACGAAATTGCTTGCATCCTAAACCTGCTTCCAACACTATTAGCACTGTGCTCTGCCTTCCCTTCATATCTTAACTCAAAACTTTTACCAATACCTTTCGTCCTCTTGACATAAAGCTCGCCTTTCGACAGACTAACACTGCTGAACACAAACCAACACACTTCGTAGCAATCTGGTTCTCATGGCAGCAATATCCCAGGAACATCAACTAAATTTCGGTGACTTGAGGCAAAGTGAAATTCACACCAGTTACTCCATCTATCATCATTCTATTATGCAGGAAGAACCGCACGTCTATGGGTCATCCAATAATGTTAGCAGACTTCTAGATGTTACCACTGCTAGGCTTAGGCTCGGCTACAAGTACCTCTGGCAGTTTGTAACATCTGCTGATGTAGATTTGACTAAATGTAAACTCTGTCAGCAGAACTATTCGCATACTTTGTGTCATTAAATAACGGAATCTTTACCTCTGAAGAGACAACTAACACAACACCTATACCCCCTATTAGACTATTTTACAGGAACTTCTTTTCCACAGCTCATAAAACTGAGGAAAGGGTCCTGAAAGATATTGTTAATAGAAACGTTATCCCTACAGACAAAAATCAGAAGATACAACTGACGATTTACTATAAAACCAAGAAAACGGTAAGCTTACTTGTGAGAAACTCTCCAGGCACAAAGCAGAACGCTTTAAAAAGAGACCAACGTCGTCTATGCCTTCAAATGCCCTCTTGGGGACTGTAAGCCTCAAAAAACTCAGTATATAGGCAAGACAACAACATCTCTTTCCAGGCGTTTAACGATGCATAAGCAACAGGGCTCCATTAAGGAACATATAATCTCTTCCCACAACCAGACCATCACCAGAGAAGTCTTGCTCTAGTTAGGCCCCATTTTGCTCTAGTTAGGCCCCATTTAGATTATGCAGTTCAGTTTTGGTCGCCATATTATAGAATGGATATAAATTCACTTGAACGTGTCCAGCGTAGGATGACTAAGTTAATTCCCCAAATTAGAAATCTTTCATATGAAGAAAGATTAACAAAGCTTAAGTTGCATTCACTGGAAAGGCGAAGAGTTAGGGGTGACATGATAGAGGTTTACAAGTGGATGAATGGACATAACCGGGGGGATATTAATAGGGTATTAAAAGTATCAACACAGGACAGAACACGAAACAATGGATATAAATTGGATAAGTTTAGATTTAGGAAAGACTTGGGTAAATACTGGTTCAGTAACAGGGTTGTTGATTTGTGGAACCAATTGCCGCGTAACATTGTGGAGGTGGGGTCCCTCGATTGTTTCAAGCACGGGTTGGACAAGTATATGAGTGGGATTGGGTGGTTATAGAATAGGAGCTGCCTCGTATGGGCCAATAGGCCTTCTGCAGTTACCTTTGTTCTTATGTTCTTATGTTCTTATGTCTTAACAAACAACACAGAAATCATCGATAGATACAGCGATAGCAGGCGGCTTGATATCTGCGAGGCACTACACATCAAAAAGTCAACACCAGCAATCAACAGCCAATTAATGCACAACTATATTCTACCCACTTCAAGACTCCGCTCCAATATAGAAGCATCAAGAAATATGGGCCAATAGGCCCTCTGCAATTACTTCCATTCTTACCTTCAATACCCATTGTTTCGTGTTCTGTCTTGTGTTGAAAGTTTGTTTTCACCTCATCCAAAACTGTTGTAACATATCACCTCACCCAAATGCAGGTATAAAAAATCGAAGATGTTTAAGCTCTATTCAATTATAGTTGTGTGTGTGTGTAAACTAAAGTCTTTGAAAATGTAATAAGTTTTACGAAACGCGTTCAAGTGTCGCGTCAGACTAGAAATAAAAATGAATTTTGGAGAATTGATTTTTCAATTGCCATCAACAGTGAAAAGAAACATAAAGATCGAGAAAATTCGTGTTAGAATTATTAATCTTACTTTTTCGGTCATATTTAATAATATATGTCTACAGGAAAGACTGCTCCCAATATATATATATATATATATATATATATATATATATTATGCACATATGTATATAAACATATATGTTACTCATTAGTTACGACTGATGAGTAACATCAGATTATGTTGACCAGACCACACACTAGAAAATGAAGGAACGACGACGTTTCGGTCCGTCCTGGACCATTCTCAAGTCGATCATCACATTCGACTTAAAAATGGTCCAGGACGGACCGAAACGTCGTCGTATCTTCACTTTCTAGTGTGGGTTGATCAACATTTTTCAGCCACGTTATTGTGACTCCTCATTTGCATAACATCAGATTAGTCTATGATACAAAAAACAGGACGGGATATTAATTCAGTTTAACTCATAATCGCTACACGACATGGATAGATCGTTAGAATGGACACGATTGACAGATGCAGTTTGTCTGATATACTGAGGGGCTCCGGTTCTATTTTTTTCTTTATTATAAGAACATAAGAATGAAGGTAACTGCAGAAGGCCTATTGGCCCATACGAGGCAGCGCCTATTTATATCCACCCAAACTCATTCATATTTGTCTAACCTACGCTTGAAACAATCAAGGGACCCCCCCCCACTTCTACCATGTTATGCAGCAACTGGTTCCACAAATCAACAACCCTGTTAATGAACCAGTATTTACCCAGGTGCACATATATACAATCATTTACACAAATACATATACATATCAATAATCTTTTTTATATGACAAGTGATTCAACAAGAGGCTCACAACAGTCACTATACAAGGCACTTTACATCTATGGTGAGTCACACAGGTACTAGTCTTGCTGCACACCCACCCAACTGGGCGGCAGCTTTACAGTCATGTGCTCCACACCCACCCAACTGGGCAGCAGCTTTACAGTCATGTGCTCCACACCCACCCAACTGGGCGGCAGCTTTACAGTCATGTGCTCCACACCCACCCAACTGGGCGGCAGCTTTACAGTCATGTGCTCCACACCCACCCAACTGGGCGACAGCTTTACAGTCATGTGCTCCACACCCACCCAACTGGGCAGCAGCTTTACAGTCATGTGCACCACACCCACCCAACTGGGCGGCAGCTTTACAGTCATGTGCTCCACACCCACCCAACTGGGCGGCAGATTTACAGTCATGTGCTCCACACCCACCCAACTGGGCGGCAGCTTTACAGTCATGTGCTCCACACCCACCCAACTGGGCGGCAGCTTTACAGTCATGTGCTCCACACCCACCCAACTGGACAGCAGCTTTACAGTCATGTGCACCACACCCACCCAACTGGGCGGCAGCTTTACAGTCATGTGCACCACACCCACCCAACTGGGCGGCAGCTTTACAGTCATGTGCTCCACACCCACCCAACTGGGCGGCAGCTTTACAGTCATGTGCTCCACACCCACCCAACTGGGCGGCAGCTTGGAGCTCAGGAAATTCTCTCCTGAATATTAATTTTCAATCTGACCATTCTAAATGCGAGAAAAATTGAAAAGTAATAATTAGTAAGGATCTAAAGTAAAAAAATAAAATGAAATAATGTTGTAAATAATGCACAAAGGATAATTTGATAATATTTATGAGTATTAGCAGTACAAGGTGTGAGGTTGTTCTTTAACTGCACCTCGCCCTTCTTAGACCCCATATTGTTTATGGAGTAAAGAATTGCCATAATACACATGCACGTATATAGAGAAGGATAACAAAGTTACTACCCTCCCTCACAGCCTTATAAAGAGACGAGGCTTGTTGTGTTAATATGCCCGAATGCCCGAAACGTTGTGCGTACTAGGGGCTTTACAAGACTGTAATTACCATATTATGTATCCTCACATTCCCAATGTACCTTCTTGTATATGCATAAATAAATAAAAAAATAAATATTCGTGGTGTAGAGGTGTGAAGAGCGAGGGTAACATGATACAAGCATAAAGTCGGTAAATGAGTATAGCAAAAGGAATAATAATAATGGTAAAAATATTAACTCAAAATGGATCACGTAATAATGGGAAAATGGGATAAGTTCAGATATAAACAAGATCTGAATAAAAAGTTGTAAGGAAACAGGTTTGTGTATTTATGAAGCAGATCGCCAGACAAGACTGTTTTAGGAGCGTGGAACACTGCTGTCCGAAGGCTGCGCAATGCTATCCAAGTTTAGATCATTTTATAACAACGCAAGAATCAAGGTAACCGCAGAAGGCTTATTCGCTCATGCGCGGCAGCTCCTATTTATATCCACCCAAACTTATTCATATGTATGTCTAACCTACGCTTGAAACAATCAGGGGATCATGCGCCCATTATGTTATGCAGTAATTGGTTCCACAAATCCACAACCCTGTTATTGAAATAGTATTTACCCAAGTCTTT